ATTTCTTTGTTTCATCATAGACAGCTTTGCAAATCAGAATTAACCTGACTGAAGACTGAAGATTGTCAACCAATTTTCGTCCTACAGTTTTTATTTTCCGTAGACGATCTACTTTAATTTCTGAGCTCAGTTTGCACGACCACAAATATTTTTCTTCCCGGAAATACTTTTTTTGGTTTCAACAGGAGAATAAAAATCGCGATAACAGCATAAACAAACCATTTGTGCGCAATTTTCAATTACTTTTCACAAGCACTTACATGTATAGATCCTTTTGCCGTATCAAACTTCGACTTATATTCTCTGCTCTTTTTTTGGAATGCAAATACTATCTGATATATCAACTGCTCAGGATAGAGACGTTCAACAACACTTGATTATCTGTTGAAGGAGCACTATCCTGAACAGTGTAGTATTCACTATGGTGTTGCTTGTAAAGTGTTTCGTTCTTCACTTCCTCTTATATTGTTTTTAAAAACAGGTCGAAGGTGGCAGCTACTTCCATTGATGAACAACATTTTGAATGTTTTAAAAATCTGAAACGATATACAAGCTGTGAAACTTCATGCGTGATCGGCATATGAACCAGCATAGGAACCAGATAGTGTGCCATATGAACGATTTTATATGAATGATTTCAATAATGGAGTCACCTCTAAAATAAAAATGAGAGGGAGCATGCTTATGCAATGTGTTAGGCTGAACATGAATGAACTGATTGATGAAATCTTATTTTCCATTTCTTTTACACCACTTAATAGAAAATGCTTGAAGGGCTCGGGTTGGTTAAACGTTTCTTTATCAAGTTATCAGGAAGAGATGTCAGAGCTTATGAAGATAAACAATTCTAAGTCTAAATACTTTTACAAAATTCAATAAAAGTGCGGACTTCCTCTGTGTGCAACACCGTAATCTGGAGAAGTGTTAGAAACACTTTTCCCTCAACCATTCTCGGTTTTCTACAAAAAGATTTGACATGAGCCCTTAAACCATAGAGCTCATACATAGACACACCTAGACATCTTAAAATTGGAATGAAGCCCGTTTCAATTCATGTTTGCTGCTTTCTCTTGTCATGCATCTACGCATATTCTCCTACTAATTAGCTAATGCAGTTAGTTTTTTTACTCACCCTAAAACTCTCAGCAGTTGTTTCATCTCGAAGGAAGTAAAAACTGAACATGAAACTACCAGTTCAGTCCCTTTACCATTAATTTTATTCAACTTTATGTTCTTTTTATCATCACCGCAGAAACGCTCGAGCCGTATAAGATCAGAAATTACGAACAAAACAAGATTGAACTTGTAAGAACAATCTGCAAACAATGTTAGCTCTCATCAACGATTTCTGATTAAAAGTAGTTTCACTCTGAACGGAAGTTTTACCCAGCTTCGAATATTTCCTTGTTACCAAGCTGAAGTTCATCAGTAGTATGTTCGCTCTTCAGTGTTTGAAATCGTATCATCGCCTATTCGAACCATTTCACAGAAATTTTTGATTTCCCGCCGTGAATAAAAGAATAAAATTTATTTTCTTATTTCAGGTCATCACAACACTCACTTTCATCAATCCTCCTCTTCTTTGTAAGGGAATTAAACCAACAACATCACTTTTAAAAATGTTTTTTCTCTGTATTTACAATGAAAGTTGCAGGGAGAGAGAGAGAGTGAGAGAGGAAGAGCTGGGCCACAATCACATACACAATCACCATTTTGGACAGTTAGAGATTCTCTACTAGAGGTTGCAGGAGAGTAGAAAAGGATGAAAGAAAATAGAAAAATATGAATTATGAGAGTGAGTGTGGGATGAGTTTGATGAAGAGATTGCAGTTCTTTTCTCTTTTTTTTCCTTATTTTTTATTTTTATTTTTTTAAATAATTCATATTCATCTTCCTGAAAAGGAAGCTGCCTTAAACGATTTGAGCTCCATAACAAGTCATCTAACAAGAGTATCGTCAACTGCCTGTATAGACAAAATACGAAAACATGCCTATGAGAGATGTTAAATGAGGAACTTTCTTTTTTCCTTTTTCTCTTTTTTTTTTGGTGAATTTTCAATTTGAAACGTTGTGCAAGCACAAATGGCAGAAATTAATTTATATTTCTTAAAACCAAGCGATGTTTTGATTGGATAGATTAATAAAATTTGTGAAAAAAAAGAATGTGTGTGTAAAGATTGTTGACAAAAGTAGTTTTCAATTGTGTTATTGAGGAAATGATTTATTTTATTTTTGTTGAGATGAATATAGAGAGAACGAATGAGATAGAAAGAGAGAGGGAGAGAGGAAGAGGTTTGAAAGAAAGAGTTTTATGAGCACCCAAAAAAGGAAAAAAAAAGAGAAAAAAAAATGGAACAAACGAAGAAACGTTAATGCTTATGTGTGGTATAATGAAAGTTGACAGAAGCCGAATAAGGAAAAATGTATTTTTGAACTAAAAATGACATCTTCCAGCTTAATATTTTCAGCTTCTTTCCCATCTATTTCTTAAATATTTTTTCCTTTTTCATTCTCTCTCCCTCTTTCTCTCTCTCTCTCTCTTTCCCTCTCTTTTCTGGACTCAAAAGTTTTGATTTGAAAGTTCCTTTGTCTCTTCTCTATGACACAGTATGCTACATGATGGGAAGAGGGATGAATGTGCAATTGAGTTTTTCTGCCTTTTTTTAACATTCCACTTCCATAAAAGTAAATTTGAAATATCAAATATATATGCTACACTTACTATTATCTTATACTTCACATCTATATGTTGTGCATCATAGCTGGTCCTATGGGATTATTATCAGCTATCTCTGCATCTGTTCTTCGCTTTGTGTACCTTGTTCTTCCATTCTCTTTTTTGAACTTTGCCAAAATCGTCAGCTTCTACTTCGTCATCTACTTCACACACAAACATTTCTGTACTTTTCACTTTTATTCGATTTGTATTGTAATCAGCAAGTACTCTCCAGCTTGAAGATGTATGGGGCTGATGCTTAAAGCTCTACTCCCCATCTTATTAAAGATGGAAATATCTGAGAATGGACGGAGGACGATTTTTGCATACATGTCAAGAGGCTAATCAAGGAACAATCGGAAGCGGCAGAAACATAGATAGCTGCAGCGAAAGAAGACGCCAAAAAGCTGAAGGTCTCGCGAACGATAAACGAAGAAGAAGAGGATGCTGAAACATTGAGCAAATGTGATAGGAGCAGAGTATAAGATGAGAAAAAAAAAGAATAAAAACGAAAGATTTATGCTGATTTTTGAGCATTTTGTTATTGTTACACAACGAATGTACAGGTCAAGAAAGCTCTCTCAGCTAATCGAGGATTGAAAGTTTTTTTTATTTATCATCCTGTCTCGAAGAACACTTCTCATTAAGACATTCACTTTCCATCTTCTATTATTTATTATTTGCAAATAAATAGAAAAGCTTGTTCTATAGCACATTCCTTATTATAACTTACAAGACACAAACCTGGAATAATTGTTATTTCATATTCATCTTATCGTGAACATCATTCGTCTCTTGCAGTCGATCCCTTCATAGCATAGCATGATGAGAGAAGCTTTTAATGAAACTATGACTATGCTTTTGAGCTCTTGACCAGATTGCTCATATGCAAAATGCGATTCCTAATAAATTTCAACAACTTGCTTTAAAAGCTCCAAGTTGTGTAAGCGAGCTAGTTCTTCCTATTAAACGTCGTTTTTCTAAATTGCTTCGTTCTTCTAGTTTTTTTGCTCTCTTTTGTCAAGCATCTCCATCGTTTCCAAGCTTTACCAACAAAGAATTCTAATTTGCATATTAGCTCTTCACGTTGAATATCGATTGATTTACGTCATTTTACTTAAGTTGGCAACAAAGAAGTAGAAGTTCATTATCATTCTAGCAGTGGCAAATGAACGGTTGCTCTGTTTTCTTGAAAACCTTCTGTTCTTCTTTAAATCTCCCACTGAACCTCATGAATTATTGGTTCTTAAAAATCATTTTATAGTTTGATTTACTAGTCCTGCAGATGTTTCTTCAGTTTTACACAAACTTCCCCTTTCCAAAACTGTATATCTATAAGTTTTCTGGAAGCATCACTTAGTTAGAGCTGTTCATATACTTCAGCTATTCCACTCTCTTTCTTTGTCTCTCTCTCTTCCGTTTTCTAAGCTTCTTCATTGATACTAGCCTTTTCCCTCTCAAGCTTTTTTCTTCAATTCTAAAAAGCAAGTCTCTCTCCATTGCATTCTCTCTAAGCTCACGTTTCTTTCTGAAAATAACGTCTTTAAAATCGTTTTTTTTCAATTTTAGTGTATTTTAGTGAAATAACCTTTCTTATGATAATTACCTCATTAATGTTTTAGAATAAATCCGATTTCATTTTGTTTTTCTCTCAACGAAAATGAAAGCAAAACGATGATCGAAACGAAAGCTTCAATGCTTCACTTAGCATCAAATAGCTCAAACGATAATCTGGTTAATCATCAGAATCATCATTCATTCACAGTCTATGAACAACGAATGAGTTTACACCTTCATACCTGATGTTTGATGAATTTTGATAAGAAAAGAAAAACAAACATGAATCTTACTTCTTCTTCATGAGACTGCCATCTATTTTCTCTCTTAATGCTTTTAATGCTTTGCTTTTCCCCCTTTCTTCTTCTCTTCCATCAACTATCATCTTCTTTCTTTATACTTTTTATATTACTCCCTCAATAATTACCTTTCTTCTGTTTTTCTCTCTCTCTCTCTTTTGATATTAAATATTTCTTCCTCTTTTCGTTACTTTTCTCTCTCTCACTCTCCCAATCGTATCTCATGTGTTGAAAAAGAAAATATTTCAGTTTCTCCACCACAGACGAACGACAAAAATTAATGATGAGCCAAGGAAATGACTATGGGAACGATACAAGCATTTGCACACATCGTTCTTCCTTTCTCTTCATCTTCCTCTCTATCTCTTTCTCTCTCTCTCTCTCTCTCATTTTCATACTTCCATCTTCAGAGTAAACTCCTTCTCACTACTCCTCCCTCGTAACATTTTTTTTTCAGCCCACGTGAAACGTCTCATCAGTTTCATAGATTTTTCTTAAGAAATGAGTTGAAAAATACGTTCATCTTGGTCTCTGAGTTAGAGCAGCGATAAGCCTTCAGAAGTTTTCATCGTCGGCAGTCTTTCGGCTTCTTAGAAAAAAGCAAAAGAAAGGGATAAAAAGTCGCGTCAGTCTAAAAGAAGCAAAGATTTTGAGAGAACATCTGAAACGCAGCTTCATGTGTGGGGTTGTAAGCGAGAAAACAGTAGGAGAAGCAGAAGAATTATGAGAGATGAGCATAAGTTATATTTCTTCACGCTCCTTTTCTCCCTTCCTATTTTTTTCCCTCGTAACAAGAACTCTGTGAAAAATATATATTTATTATCTTGACATTATACATGGTAATATATTGTTTCTATTCTCGATAGATTTCTTTTTGTTTAGCTCTTTGTTGCTTACAATCTCTCTCTCCTTCTCTCTCTCTCTCCCTCTCTCTCTCTATAGATATACCTCTCTTCCTCCATCTATATCAATTTGTTTCGACTTAAACAATATAAGCGTCGTTGCTCCATCTATTCTACCTCAATGTTCATCTTTTTTGACTTTTTAACCATCTTAAGCATCCACCAAATACATTCTCTCTAGTTTTATCTTTACTCGAACTTTTTCTATACCAAACAACTTCTACCAAAAATGGTTAAAATTCACCCGGAAGGCTAAAAACGAAGTTTAACAATGATTTCTGGTCTATCTACTTAGTTTGAAGTTCTTGTATCTCATTTCGTGAACATCTCTTTCTCTTCCAATAACCTTTTCTGATCTTTTTCAAGAAGAAATGTCCAACAGAGGGTAAAGAGAGTCAGGAAGAATTGAGAGTGTGTGTGGGAGATGGTTCTGTTCATGTCTCCAAACTTGAAGCCTCGTGTCTTTCATCGAAGATAATTTGATCATCTTCGCCCACTTATCATCATAAGCTTCTTTCCCTCCTTTTCGCCTTTTTCCATAAAAAGTTGCCTTAAACTCTCTATCCCTCCCGAAGCCACTTTTTTCTTGTAATTTCAGTCCCATCCGTCGATCATTTAATATGAAATTCGTCATTCTTAGAACCAATAATTACTCTCTGAAATTAGTCTCAAATGATTTCTGTTGTCGACGACCAAAATATGAAGACAAGGAGCAGCTGAAAAAAAAACGAGAAGAAATGAAGCATGCTCATCCAAATGCGTGTGATTTCTTTCTATTTTTAAGAGAAACATTTCGTCATTGCACATCCTGTTCAGTAATTTTTTTTTAAAAAATACAAAAATAATGTTTTGATTCTCAAACACCAACAGCTGATATAAGATAGACACAGCCTGAGTTGATGAGTGTGAACGAGATGGATTACCTGTGAGCACTTCTCACACATCGTCTCTGTTCAATAAACTCTTCGAATTCATAAACCATTGCAATAAGAAATGAAAAGTATGAAAAAGTGAAATAAAAAGTGTTCGAATCGATTTGATTTTCAATAATTTCACTTATAATTAAAGCCATATGGATGCTGCCTTGCTGCCTACACCCCATTTCGTGAACAATAGGATGAGTCCGCCCGATTTTCGTGAACTTTGTCGGACTTAATCTCATTTTTATGGAAAATTTAATAATTGAATAGCTGAAAAGCTGGTAATTATCCATTTTTGTTAATTCTCTTCTTCCCCACTTCCTTCTTTCCGCTCAGTTTCATTTAAAAATTTTTTTTCTTTGAAGAAAAAAAAAATAAAAGAGAGAAGAGAATGTCATCAGAAATTCTCAACATTGTTCACTTTCTTCCACCTGAACATTCTTCAAAAACAAATCATTAAAAATCTCCTGAAGATCATTTGTTTGATCAACATTTTGAATGAAAAATCATTTTTTTGAAATAGTTTTTTCATTTAAAAAGTTCATAGACAAGTTCGTTTGCCTCATGTGCTCATGTGTTCGTTTAGCTAGTAATGTCTCTAACTTTCATTTTCATCATGACATTCATTGCAATCCACTATCTCATATACGTAACTTTAGTTTTTACTAAAATTGTGTGGTACAGTTCAAATCTTAAAGAGTTTTCAATTTCAAGTTTTCCCTCTAAGCTCTCTTACCTTTAATAGTCTCTCAATTCGTTACATCTGTCTGGCAAGCTCAAGTTACAATTTTGCTAAACTCTTTTATCTGTTCTTATGTAGTTTTAAAAAAAGAAGATAAGTTCTCATGTAATTTGAGATCTCTTAACAGCCTTTTTTAACTTATCTAGAAGCTTAAACTTCAGTTTAGCAAAAGTGATGTGTCGCAAACATACGAACGAAACATAATGTTTCATCATGTCACCCTGAGGGCATTCCTCATCTTATCACATCCTTAATCGTACTTTGCAAACTTTCCTCTTCTTACTTTCTCATTCGTTTCTTCATTTCTTTTTCGCGTTTTTTTGTTTCCAATTTTTTTTTCTTTCTCTTTCCACTTCCATGCAAACGATGTGTTCATCCATTTCATCTAACGTCATCATCATTCTCAAAATTCTTGCCGTTTGCGCTCATCGGACGCCTTCGAAAACTTCTCGTTTGCCATTTTTTCTCCCCTTCTATTGCCTTTTAAAATAGTAATTCTATTTCAAGCTTCACTATCATCTTCATTCCCTTCTTCATTTTCAAATTTTTTTCTCTCTGATGTGAAGAATAGGAGCCTTCCTTTGCAATCCTGCTGTTTCCTCAACAACCATCCTCTTCCCATCTCTCTTCTCTCTGCTTAATTTTTTGAAGCAATAGATGGCGTAATTCAACCTCAGAACAACATGCATGCCCTTTTGCATACATTCAAATAATATTTTTTACCCATTTCGTACTTTATGCTCTCTCCAGTCTGTCGTCGTGTTGAGCTCTCGCCTGTACCTTTGATCATCCTCATCATCATCATCATCGTTGCATACACAATCACTCAACATTATCATTTTTGTAGCAAAGAATGTCATCAGCAGAAGTAGATGATGAAGGAGATTTGTACGAACTGTCTCTCATAGAACTGGTAAATTCATTTTGAACAAAACATTTTTTTTCCTCGTAATCTTCAAGTTTAATAACAAACAACATCTCTTTGCAGATAATATGGTGTATTCTATATGCCATCATAGCTCTCATGGCTGTTGCGGGAAACTTTTTGGTCATCTATGTGACACTGACGAAATTAAGGTTTCGTTTAATTAGAAAAATGTAAAAGAAGGAATCAAAGCGTTCATTTTCAGGACACGCTCAATCACCACATATTTCATTATAAATTTAGGATTTGCTGATCTTTTAACTGGTATCTTTGCTATCCCATTCAAGTTTCAAGCTGCACTATTTCAAGTTTGTTATTTTGCTTAAGTGGATATAGCATGCGATTTAGGAATGGTTCTTGCCTTCATCTTTATGTCAAATTGTGCCGTACACCGAGACAGTTTCATTATCTGTTTCTGTGTTCACACTGACTGCATCGGCTATCCATGAATTTCGTACAATCTTCTTTCCGAAGCACAAACGAATGTCAAGTCACAGCGCTCGGTAACTATGCAAGATGTAATTAGCATAAAACCAATAATGCTTATTTAAAGATTTCTTGTTATTGTCATATGGTTAATAGCTGGTATAGTATCATTACCTCATGGCTTATTTCATCGTGTCTATGTCATGGAAGATGATACAACCAATCTTACTATATCACAAGTACTTAGCTATATGCTATAGTTAATTATAAACTACCCGTCTTCAGTGTCGGCCCGTTTATGCGGAAGATGATTGGTGGAAGATGTATAATGTGTATTTGACAATCATTCATTACTTCGTACCCATGATTATACTTGATTCAGCTTATACAATGATAGCTATTAAGGTTTCGACCTCTCATACCTCATCTGCCTTAATTAGTATTATTCTAGATATGGTCCACTACTGTAGGTGGTAGTTCAATCGATAATCGACAACAGAACGTATCGAGTGAGATGTCCAATCGAAAGGTATTTACTTTTACTCAATTATCTATCCCAAATTAGCATAATAACATTATACTCTTTATTATAGTTAATGAAGATGCTGATGATCGTTGTCGCATGTTTTTCACTCTGCTGGTTTCCATTAGAAACTTATCTGTTACTCAACGAAATTAAACCGGAAATTAATGGGTAATTAAAACTTATTTCTAAGCCTAATATCCATATAAGGGGGAGGATGAGGAGGAAGCTTAAAAAAAAAGATTTTAATTACCTTATTTCCAGATGGAAGTATATCAATGTGCTTTTCTTCTGCTCTCATTGGCTGGCTATGTCCAACTCTTGCTTGAATCCAATCATTTATGGGCTGTACAATGTACGCTTTGTTTCCTTCCACTTAAACTTCTACTGTATCATTTTAGAACAAATATAAGAAAGAGTATAAACGAGTGTTTGGACGGTTGATTTGTCGAAAATATGATGATCATCATTCAATTGAAGAACATCAGAAGACGATTGAAGCCGAATTTGCTGCAAATGTTCTTATAGTTTGCATCAACAAATCCTTAACTATGTCCTTTTATAGGTTGTTCAGCGCTCTTGGCTTAATCCTTATGCATCCGAAGGAGTTGTACCCTATTATACGGAAACTTTCCAGGTTATTTTTCTTTCAAATCCAAATGACGCCCACATTTTTCGCCAAAAGTTCAAAAAGTCATTTAGCATAGTATGCAAGACTGGCAACACTGGTACACACATTCATTTCAGGTTGTCCCACTAGAAGATGCTGGTGAGAAGAAGAATGGTGACAATTGTCAATTACTTAACAATAATAGTTCGAGTAAATGCCATTTGAACGGAAAAAAGGAAAATGGAGATGACGGGCGGATGCCTTTAGCCGATGACGATGAAGAAGATGAGCATGGAGACCAACGTGTTCTCTCCATGATGGCCGTTTCATTATGATTGATTGAAAAAAAAAGTTTCTGAGACGGGTGATTCCTTTTGAGCTTTTCTGTTTATTTATAATCTGTGTTACTCACGAATAAACCTCAACATTTTTTTGTTCCGATGACAATCTTCTTTCACTGCAATCCAGGGTAACAGAGATCGAGAGAGGGAGAGTGTGTCACTCCCCTCTTTGAAAATCAGACTTTGGAAAAAGCGTTCTGCAAAAGAAGTGGCAAACTCTCTGAAAACATTAGTTCGCATACAAGTGTGTAGTTCATGAGAATTAGATTATGAGTAGTTTGAGAAAAGAGCAAAAGATGATCGTAGTGGAGGTTCATGTCTTCATTCAATGCAACTTTCATAGATGACCAATCGAATTGTAAATATTATATTTAGAATATTTATTATATAATTGTTGTATAATTGCTCCGAACGATGATGGAAGAGAAGAAGAAAAGAGGTGGGGGGTTGCTGCAAAGGAGAGCTTCTATGAGAGAGTTCGTCGAATAAGAGGTGTGCTAAGAGGGAGAGTAATTGCGTGAACTGTAAGATATAATGGTTATGTCTTTATAGAACTGCTAGAAGGAGTGAAATGAAAGAGATGGCTAGTACTAGAGAGAGAAAAAGCTAGCATGAACCTATAAAAGGAATTAAAGACAAAGAGAGAGAGAGAGAGAATCCCCTTTCTCTCCCTCTTTGCATCTTGCAGTGAATTCTCATCTGTCAACTTGTGGTTTTTTCCGTCATTTGCATGTCATTTTGGTATTGTTGCTGAAACATAAAAATAAACGCACATGACTTCCGTTGTGATCCATCTTATCCATCCATCCTTGACGTATTCTGTTGGACGTCTCCTCTCATCAGATTCTTATTAAAAGGCAGATGGTTATCTCATTCTCTTGCAGCTATTCCCATTTCTCTTTTTCAATAATTTTTCAATTCAGAATTATTGAGAAAACCATATTTGATTTCTATGGAGAATTCTATCACAACATGCAATCTTTCTCATAAATAGTTATGTAGATAATTGAATTATCTAAGCCACATAATCAAATACACATTTTTGATTTTAACTCAATTTGAAGTTTTTTTCCTTTTTAATTCGACTCACAAAAATATTATTTTGGACATTTTGATTGCCTTTGACACACTTGTTAATTGAGAGTAACCAACAAAAAAATAATATGGATGAGGCTGCCAACATATGATCTCCGTTATTCCAATCGCCTCATTCATATCTCCTGTTTTCATTTACTTATATTCTCCTCTCTCTATGTCTTCCACTTTCTCTCCCTTCTTGTTTTGATTCTCTAATTCTGTTTTTTTTCTGGCTTTATGTAAATTGAAATGCTTTACTTATTCACTGGTTAGCTTGTGTTTGAAGTTCACAACAAACACACACACACACACACACATACAGTATGGGAAGTCAATGAAACTCTTTGTGTTTCCATTCAGTATTGCATGTGCCACTTATGAACAACCACCGCTCACTGCTATTGAAGAGAAGAAAAAAATGAAAATGAGCAGATAAGTATGTGAATTGAGGTGAAGTGTGAGAATTGAACAGATGATTCATTATTACTCTTATAACTATATATGTATATATAGTAAAGATAGTTAAACAAAACTATATTGAATATATAAGTGATGGAACAATAACCAGAAAGAGCAGCTGGTCTACAATTTTTGGTGCATTTACGGTTTTCAGAAGGTGCAGTCTGTCATTTGTTTGACTGTCTAGTCAGCCATTTGTAATTCGTATTGAATCTTTTGTCAAATATAAAGAAAACTAAAATAGAGTGAGAGAGAAACATACGATTTTTTGTGTTTCTGTTATAAAATATGATCTGTTATAGTTAATTATATATAAATATAATTATTACCTTATTGTGAGGTTAAGCTTCAAGCTTACCTGTATGTATTCCTTAGATGGAAAGTAATAGATGACCAGCCGGATAGAACAGATGGCCAGTATACTGAAATCTGCTCATTCATTCTTCTGCTTTTCAAACGCTTCGATGCTTGTATGTGAGCGATGATTAAATGAAATCTGAGATCATCTCCTTAAGCATTTTTTTCTTCTTTCTCATCTGACTTTTGCTCCTTCAACAACACCACATCCAATCTGTGCTCATCGTCAACAACAACTAATCTTTAAAAATAAATTTTATTCTTAATTGCTTATTAACTATTCCATATTTTATTAAATAGGCACAACAATCAAGTTATTAATTGCTTACCTTCTGCTCTTCTTTTTCGCACATTTTTCTTTTAGCAGCAGCTCTCACACATCTCATCCTCTCTCTCTCTATCTATCTCTCTTAATTCACCTTTTACTCTCCTAATTTTCACTTACTATAATCAAAATTTCTCATATTTGCCTTTCCTTTTGTGGCGGTTCATCTATTCAACTGGAAATAGATTGAAACTGTAAAAGGTCAAATAAAACCATCACAGACTCTTCCGACGAGGTTAATCGCTCATCTGAGAGTGAAAGAGAGAGAGACAGAAAATGATGTCCATTAACTATACGGATATAGTTGATGAATCATTTTCTCTCCATGTTTTTGTGTTATCAATTAGGTGGAAAAGGAGTATAATCGACCTCGTGTCATATTCTGCCCTTGTTCATCTCATTCCTTATCCGACCAGCCCTCTCTATTCTATTTTTTCCGGCCCTCATCCCCTATCTATATCATATAATTTTATCCTTTCATTGCATCATATTCTATAACATCTGCCTTAAATGCACAATACTCAATCAAATCATTCAAGCTAATCATTATGTAATTTTTGAAAAATATACATTGGCGGCTTTCTGCTTTTAAGTTTTTTTTTATCTTCCTCTATGTGCATGAATAACAGTCATTTGTTCTTTTAAATGAATTAGCACACGACCGTTATGCTAATTAAGCATTGAAAGGATCACGTGATGAGACGTGTGAAGACTGTGCATGAGCTCATTACAATGTCTCATACTCTTCACTATCTTCTGTTGTTATATACTTAACATCTGTTCCTACCTTTACCCATTGTCACATTACGTGAGAACCTATATTCCACGTCAATAGTTCACGTGAAACACAACCAGACGCTCTTTTTCATTTATGCACATAAATAAGAACTGAACGGTTGCTTCATTCTTCGTTCCGCTTGTTATTTTTGGGTTTCGTGGAAGTCATTGGGGTTGTTCAATCAGTTCACTCTAATCGACTAATATCATTTGGCTTCATCTGGGTTTTGGAATAAACATGAAGGGTACTTTACTAATCTTACCATATAAAATATTCTATGAAATAGTATAGAGATAAGAGAGACGATGATTTCAAGTATTTCCTTGTTCATACTATTCTCTCTCCTAATTATTCAAGACATACCAGCTTTTGCTTATTTAGCTTCATCTTTCTCATTCCTTTTTAAGTTTTAAGCTTTTCCTATTGCTCCTCCTTCTTCTGCTCATCAGCTTCATAGCTTTCTTCTTCTTTTTTCTTTTCCTTTTATGCTTTGCAGTGAACATCAGAAGACTAACTATTCTCTCTTCTATCTTGTCACAAATTGTCTATTGTCTTCGCCTTTCTCCTGTTCTCATTTTAGCAATTGCGACAGCTTTTTCTCAATCCTCACCCCTCTCGTCCTAAATACAATGGCTTTTCATAATCTGCAACAACGGCGACAAATGCTTTCCTCTTTCAACCATTTTGCTTGAAATGTCTATGCGTAACTCCTGTAACCTACTACATCCGTCAACACTTTTGGACGGCATTTTTAAAGAGTTTAAGTGGAAGCACGTGTCCGATTTCCATGTTGTTTCCGGTAAAGGTTATACAAGCTTATTATGCTCTGCGGGAGCTTTTCTCGCATAATTACCTCATGAAGTAGACGAACGAAACAAGACTTATAAAAGGAAAGTTCGGTTTCTTTTCTTCTATTCTCTATTTCTTTTTCTTTTCTCTTTATATCTCTCTCTCTCTCTTTCTCTCTCTCTCTCAGTCTCTCTCTCCTTCGCTCGCTTCATTACTTTCACAAGTTCTCATGACTACACATCTTTAAAGCATTTTCTCGCAAGACCTCTCCTTTTTTAGATTTCAATGAATAAAATGTATTGACGAGGTTGAAGCTTTCATGTCACTCGTTAAATGTCTTTAACGAAGAGCTAAATAATTGAAATTTCTAGCCAAGACCCAAATAATTCCCTATTCATTAGCTGCTCAAATGATTTCTCACACCATCATCAGTTTGTTTTTCTTCCAATTTTAATAAAAAAATATTTATTACATCGTCATGCTCTCAATTCTTCGCTCGAATTTCGTAAAACTTCTCATTTTTATTTTCTTCACAAGTCCATCATGAACAATTCAGATTTCCGACGTTGCCGACGTCGTCGAATTGACAAATCTCCGTCCACCCCAAATGACAACTTTAGTACGGCCATTTTAGGGCAAATTTTCTTGAACGAAGAGCCATCACTCGGAGTCTATTTTTCAACTTTTTTTTTTCATAAAATCCGGCTGAACATTCATCATACACTCGCCCTTTGCCCACCATTCAGTGTATCTCTCTTCGTTTGACGATTAGACGTTCGTGCTATGAGCAGTTTGAGCAAGCTGATGTTGTTCAACAACATTTTCTTTACTTTTTGTCATTTTCAATGGCTTTTCACAGCAGTGCTCATACGCTCTTTACCCCAGTTTCTCACTTTCGATTCATAAGTTTCACTTACCGATATATGCCTATCTTAGTCTGAAAGCTTCAAGATGGAAGGATGATCTGTCAGGGCAATCTGCCAGCTTTTTCTCTTCAACTTTCATCTCAATTAAGTTGTGTGAAGTGGGATAGTAGGGTATTTCATACACCCTCAAGGCTTATCTTTTATCCCGCACTTTCTTCCAACTATTTGCCGTTTTTACTTCGCCCTCTAAAGAATCGGAGAGCTTTCTTCATTCCTTCTCTCCGAGATTAATACAGGGAATTGGCTTTCTTCTTTGAAGGTCTAGAAGTTTTTTGAAAGCTTTTCCATTAATCGAAGACAGCATGTTCTTCTTCAATGAGATTTGCCCATGTCCCCCCCCCCCCCCTCTCTCTATCTATCTCTCTTACATTTGGGATTTTCAATCTTTTTCATAGTATTCATCTTGTTTCTCAAATTTCAGAGATTTTCCTCAGAATGCTCAAGAAGGTTATCCTTCTTTCTCCTTAATCCAAAATTATGAAATTTGTTGTTGTAATTTGCAAGCTCCAGTATGTATCTGATTGCTTTCATCTGAAGATAAGCACTGGACAGCATTTCGGCTTTGCTCTCTCCACATTTGTCTCACAAAGTATAGTTGAGAGGAAAAAACGTTAATTTTTTTTGTCTCAACCAAATAGAAGGCTTCCAAGCTTTTTCTCTCTTTTTTGGTCATTTTCTTATTCATCATGTTGAGCAGACTTATTTTGTTTCTTTCCTTTCCTCTTTGCTCCTGAATATCTTCAGATTCTTCTCCGATTGTATCCAATTTCGTCGTAGTTTGTCTGCCAGCTTAGCCGACCATTCTCATCCTCATCATCATTTTCACATCGGACCTCCAATTCAGCTTAAAAACCTTCGAAATGATGAGCCTCCTATTTGTCAATGTATTCCAATTGAACAATTAAACTTGACCAAAGTTGTAAAATATGTTTCATTTTCTCTCTTTCCCTCTCTCTCATTGTTTCTTGACAGGGACAGCGTCCCCTGAGAGATTTGCGACTTTGCGACCTCAAAAACAAAAGACAAATATATACGAAATTTCTTTCATTTTAATCAATTTCCTTATGCCCAACAGCTCTTTGTCTTAAAAAAATTTTTTTTTTAAAGAAACTAAACGAAAATCCAATTTATTTCAAATTCACGTCAATCACGTATGTACTCACGTCGTTTCTCACGTAAATTTCCAAAAAAAGCAAAAAATCAATTTGAATCTCTATTCCTGTCATCCGTTCACTCATTTTTCTAGTCTTTGGCCCATTATTTTGTACATATTTTCATTCTTACTATTCCTTTTATTGATTCTAAAAAGCTTATTTTCTTTACGGAAAAGCTGAAATGAGTTTAATAATACCTTATATGAGCAGAACAAATGCCAAAGGTTAAAGATTACTTTTATTTGTCAACTGAAGAACATTTTCTTTTTTTTTCTTCTTCTTCTTCTTCTTCTCTCTCTCTCTCTCTCTCTTCATCTTGTCTGCTCCGAAATTTGCCATTGATATTCGTTTGTTCGAAATCGTTATTTGATGCCTTTTGTCCGACAGCAGGTTGCCAAGGAACGAACAGCGCTATCTCTCTTTCAGGCTTTCTCTCTCTCTTACTTTCTCCCTGCTACTCTTTCCCTTCCTTTTCACTCTCTCTTTCTCTGTGCCTATCATTGACCAATTTGTTTGTTTTCAACACTTACTGCTTCGGAATGAGACTTTATCTGGTGTCGTGATCATAATTTCTTTGAGTTTTAGCCTCTCAACAACGACCACTATGCTCTTTCTTTTTTGCAGCTCAAAACTTTTCTTTTATTAAGCTCGCATGAACATTCCTTTTTCCTTTTATGAGCAATTGAAGCTGAAATGAGGCCGAAATGGTGAAATGACAGAATAAAATAAAAATTATTGTTTTAAAAAACTTCTAATTAAATGACTCTAAAAAAAGAGCTTCATCTTCTATCTCTTATTATTCCAAACCAACCCTCTCCCATGACCAAGCAGCCTCTTTACTTGTTTACCATAAGGAGGAGAAGTTTCTTTGAAAATTCACTTTTGATGCGAACGGCACCATTTCATCAGTTAATAACGCTGGATGCGGTTGTTGTTTTATTACTCTGTATACTCTCGTTGCTTCATCTATCCACTATTACCTATATCTCTCTGAATATCTTTCTTCACTCTCACTCTTTAAACATTTCCATTTCCCTTGTATATCCTTCAGCTTTGGTGGTGATCGATGTAAAAAGCTGGACAGAAGGCAGCTAAGAGCCGTCTTCTTTGCCTTCTTAGAATTCTGAACATCATGCACATAGAGCTTTAAAACTTCTTTAAAGAGAGAAAAAAAGAGGGAGCTGAGTAGAAGGATTTCAGGGAAAATGGAAAAGAATAAGAATTGAAGAGAGCAGGGGACAGAGTGTTGCAAAGAATATGAGTGAACAGCTACCAACAAATCACATTTTTGCTCTTCGAAGGATGGATGTTTTGCTTAAATTAGATGTTCGGGGGTGTTTCGTCTTTAGAACTCTCTATTCTTGTGATGAAGAGAGTGCCAGAACACAAAAGATAGAGAGAACTGAAAATTTGGCAAAGCCAGAGTAAGAGTGAAAACCTTCGACAAAGCGATAGAGTGAGGGAGAGAGATGGGAGGGAGTAATAGCCACAGGTTTGTCAACAAACTGCACAAACATTGTTTTAGCTTTCATAGTATCAAATTCTATCAATTTTCCTTTTTGGATTTGTTCTTCTCGATCCAGTTGTAAATTTCAAGAAAAAAAAATGTTTTCTTCTTCTCTCCACGTCATTTTCAGGCTGTGTACCGGATGTTTCATAAAGCTTAACCTCTCAGAAACGTCCACAGAATTTCCTGAATTTATCTTTTTCTCAAATTTCTAATGCGAATTCTTGTAGCTCCGTTCAGTTGCAAAGAGAGTTTTTTAAGTTTTATGACCAAATACGAAATGATGACAAACAACTTGTTGCCCTCAGGGGATTGTAACCTTTTGTAAGCCATCCGCAACACTTCTGTTCCAATTTTTCGACGCATTCCAGCAGCTATTCGTCTTTGCTCATTTCCTACTAAGTTCCTCTTCAAAAGACTTTTTTGAAGTAAAATTCATTAAAGATTCTCCGTTACTTCAGTCTCTTCCTCTCCCCTCCTTCTATCTGACCCACTCTCCCTTCCCCTCTCTCTCCCTTTTAAGAAAAACACTTGAATTCATGGGGGATAATCAAGATTTTCTTTTTCAATTTTCCAATTCATTTCATCGCTTTCAGCTCTTTTTTTCGAAAACCCGAAGACCTTTCACCTCCATTTCTCTCTCTTTTTTGTTGTCGTCCTGTGTATGCAATGTTTCATTCGATAAAACAATATATAATCCTCTCGCTTCTAATTTGCAATTTATCCTTCTCTTGCTCTATCTCTCTCTCTTGCAGACTATCTCTTACTCTCTCTCTCTCTCTCCCACATTCCCTCTTTAACTACCTCTTTCCCTCTCTATCACCCTCCCTCTTTCATTTTTTTCATCTTTTTTAGGCTTTGGATTGACGTGTCAAAATGCCTTTTGAGGTCAGATGTTGAGAGAAAATTTTTTTCCCTCCGATCATCACCATCCTTTTGTGGTTTAACGAAAAATATAATTTTACATTTAATTTAAAAAAAAGTTGGAAAAAAAACTTTTTTTCTCTACCTCTCTCTTCTCGTATGTTGTGATCCTTCAGTACTGAGAAATCTATTCTCTTTGTTTATATGGAGAGAAGGTTGTGAATTCTTTTTTTTGTCACCACGAAGAGCTGAAGCTTGATATGCTTTCTTTTTAAAATCGACTTTCGATTTCATTTTTTAAGCTTAAAACTCATCAAAATATTGCTGATTGGCGTTAGAGAGAAGCTTTTTGAAGAGCTCGCGATTTTATTTGAAGAAGACTCTCAACTTCAATTACAAAAACCTTTTTTCTCTTTCAAACATAACTTGCCTTAGCTGAAACTTACATAAGTTCGGTGACTATTCACGTGCACATGATTGTAACCAGAATGGAAGAAAGCTTCATTCCTCAAAGTATATTTTACCAGAGTCATTTCCATTTTTGTTAGTTTTTTCAAAGAATTTTTTTTTGTTGAAAGAAACTCGAACCTTACATCTGTTGTTGAGGTTTTTGTTTTCATTTTTACAATTGTTCGAAGAGATGTTAGTATCGTTTCTACTCAGTTACAAAGGAACTTTTCCATCCTTAACTGTTCACAGAGAGGCATAAGCTCACACTCTACGAGAAAATGAGAGAGAGAGAGATAGGTAGAGCTTGACGAAGAATGTAAGAGAAGATATGTTGTAGAACAAGAAGCTCCTCTTCTACTTGTGTTCTTCAACATGATCTTCTTCAAAACTTCTATTTGAGCTTCAGAAAGACAACAGATCATTTTTTTTTTGTATTTTCATTTTATTTTTTTCTTCTTCTTTCAATACTTTTCAAATTCTATTTTGAGTCAACGCAAACTTTATTTTTTTGTTTGGGAATTACTTGGGTGGCCTCTAATTTCATGAAAAATTTAGTTGAATCTGATTGAGCTGAAAGACCAAATTCTGCTTTTTCTCTTATTCTCTCTCATCACACACATTTCTCTTTGGAGCAACAAAGAAAAATCAAAAAAGAAACATCATTACGATCAACAGCTTCTTCCTTGATTGTCTTTTTTTCTGTTTCCGTCTTTTCTCTTTATTCTCACAATTATCCCTTGACCTTACTCCTCCATCTCAGTTTCTTTCTGTTAGTTCTCCCTCTCTATTACCATCCCTAAAGAAGTTGCCATATCTGAAGAACAAATCTCTATCAAACTACTCTTTCATCGTATCTTGTACCTTGTTCCTCACATGCTTTGTGCGATGTTTTGGTAAATACTCTCTCATCTTTCACTCAACCTTTCAAACGGTTTTATTTTCTGTAGCAACATGTGCTCGTGACTTTCAATCTCACTGTTAATCTTCTTTTCATTATGAATTTTGTTTTTTTTGGAATGTTTATCATTATTCTCTTTTACAGATAGTCATGAAATTGCTGATTGTGACTGCTTTGTTCGCCATGGCATTGGCCGAAAGACCAAAAATTAAAGACAACACCCGAGCATTTTTGGTTAAAATAAGGTTTTTTATTATAAAAATCATATTTTCGTATATTAAACAACAACAAATTGAAGTGATATTCCAATCGGATCATGTGGTGGAGATTCCTACTTTGGTTTGGGAATCATGAATGGAACACTTGAGAAATGTGAAGAATGGCAAAAAACTGATCCCGAAGATATGAAAGCTTATGAAATTTGGAAATGCAAACATTTACGAAGTAAAATAGATTTTAAATTTTCAATAGAAAAGAAAAAAAAGTTGGAAAATCCAACAAAATAACAAAAAGAGTGAAGAAACACGTCAACGAATCCCAAATTTTTTTTTTTGATTTTGCTGAACAATTTTTCTTTTTCGATGATCAGTAGGACTGTTTTTTGAATCTTGAAGCCTATCAAGAATGATTTGAGATCATTCATCATTGAAACAATCACTCAACTACATGCTCACTATCTCTCTCATTTCAAATGTTACAGTGCACGGACAAGTTAAGGATGGCAAATGTGTTTGTGCTGATATGTGGAAGGGATCCATTTGCAATGATTACCACGGATGCGATCCCGGTTTCTCATACAACGGAAAAGTGTAAGCAGCTATACACCCATAAATATCATATTTTTAATTATTTTTCAGTTGTATTCCAAATGTTTGTAAGAACGGAGGTGACTTAGCTGTCGGAAGTGTGGAAATTGAATGTATCTGCCCGGTTTGTCTTTTTTTATTTATTTTCATATTTCCAACTATACTGATGATATATATATATATATATTATTTTTTATTTACTAAAAGAGAATTGCAACTGTGCTTTTCAGATTCCATGGGACGGCAGACTGTGTGAGCGTCTGACTTGCTGGAGAAAAACGAAATTCGGACAAGACAAGCGTTTCATTAACGACGTTAAGAGTTGCAAATGCGGAAAGCATTATACGGGAGAGAATTGTGACGTCATTAAGACCTGCTACAATGGAGAAGAGCCAGTAGATGGAAAGTGAGTGAAACAATTGTTTTATAATACTAACGGAGCCTTTAAGATGTACCTGTTTACCTGGATTCGGTGGAGAAATCTGTGATCGTACCTGTCCCAAAGGACAACTTACGTACGTTTTCATGTTTGATTCATAGAGATATCTTGAAAAAAGCTCCGAAATTTGAGCTTCTCATCAAAGTCAGAACGTGACGGCTGTGTGCAACAAGAGTTCCAAGGTTGAACCGAACAAACGGTCAAACTCTGAACACATCATTCAATTTCAACAAATTGCACAATGGCTCTGCACGAATATTTTGCTCAAAAATCATTTTTTTTTATTAGAAGCACGTGGATGATTCCACGTGGCTTTACGCCAATATAGACGTGCACATGATTGCCAAAATTGAAATTTTTAAATTTTTCATTGATTTCTCTTTTATTTGAAAATGTGAACTTTCAGATGCTCATCTGGTCTTCTTTCAAGTTCAATTATCCTCAGTTTGGCAGTGGCACTTTATCTTAGAAGCTGAATTTATGAATTATTTTTATTATTTTTATGATGATAATTATAATAATTAAGAATTAGAAGAATTTAGATAATATTGTAATTAAATGAGCTTTTCCTTCCTGATTTCCCAGTTCTTCTTTCAATAACCATTTTCAGATTATAACCTTTCAATTCTTCTATTGCTCCTCTTTTTAATCTTCATCCCTCTCCCTGTCTCTCTCTCTCTCTTTTTCTCTCTCTCTCTCTCTCTCTTTCTTCCTCTCTCTACATTTTCCTCGTTCCCATCTTCCCTGTTCTCTCTGTTCACTCTTGAAGCGTACATGTCAATCTGTTGTACATGTGGCTTTCATACATTTTTTTTTCAAAATTTTCATATTAAAATGAGCTTCTGCCGAAATTCTGTTTGAAACAACTGAAAGCAGTAGATATATTCAAGCTTAACCCACTGCTAGAAGCTTTTTTCCGTAGAAGCATTTAATCTCTTGTATCTTTGTCCCTTCTTCTTCTTTTTGTGTCTCTCCTTAACTTGCCGCCCAATCCTCTCTCAATCAGCATAGTTATTTGTTTTATTTGCTTTTTTAATGTTTTTATCCTTTTTTTTCAACAAATAAAATTATTTTTTATTTCAAGTATTATAATAAACTGACTAACTATATGCATATAGTAAATAGACACCAACACCTCCACCTACTCATTCGGAAGCATTTCTTTGCATACAGCACAAGCTTTTTCTTTGGCATGACCTCGGAATAGTATAAAAAATGAAAGAATTTTTGTCTTTTTGTTCAAACATTCACAGCTAACACTCTTCCTCTTCACATTGATTAATAAGAGATTCTTAAAGATTAAAAGATAAGTCGTACATCTAGCTTAATGATTTCCATAAAAGGAGCAGAATTGATATTCTCACTTAGCTTTTTCCGGTCACTCTCTCTCTTCAGCATTTCTCGTTTGCCGTAAATATGAATGTAAAACTTAGCAGCTTTTTTCTACCTTCAAATTGTATAATTCTGATCTTTTCGTCTTTAAAGCTGACTAATCTGCTGCCTTCAATTAGTCTTCAATCGTTCATTTCCTTTATTCATAAGTAGTTGAATGAATAGAGAGAAAAAATACTTTGTTGGATGTTGTAAATGAAATCATCTCTCTTCACCTTTCTGTTATTCGTCCCTAATCCTCTCAAAAATATTTTTTCTCCTCTCTTTCTTCTTCTTTTAATGAAAATCAATCTTTCGACTGTTAAGCTTAGAATCTCTTTAATATTTTCACAGATTTCCTTTTTTTTTCTTGTCAGCCCAGATCACGAAAATCCTGCTTGACTTCATTCCCTTCCTCCTTCTTTTTTCTTCATTCATGTTCTCTCTCTATCTGTTGGCGTTTATCCGTTTCTCTATTCTTCTCCCTCATAAGGCTTCCTAGATTTTTCTTCCTTTTTCCAAATTATCTTTTTTTTTACTTTCAAGGTAAATTATGGAGGAAGATGAAACAAAAATTCTGCTGTGGCTATCACCAACAGAAACATCAACAGCGACACTCGGCCTCTTTTCCATATTTTTTCTTTTCTCCACAGTTTTAACTATTGGATTAGTATTGAATTTATTTGTATTCTACCGAATGACAAAATTAGCCAAAAGAGATCCAAGCCAGGTACGTCTTATGATACTCATATCTATTATCATTAACAAACATTCAGTTCTTTAACGGCACAGGAATATTCTTGCTCGTTATGTCCATCAGCGATTTGTCATCTCTCTTGACAATCTATTTTCAATTGATTCTTATTTTCATCAAATCTCAACTTCCTTTGATGGCTCAAATTATTATTTGTAAAGTAAGAAGATATCTTTATATTGTTCTCATAATATCACAAATTATTCTAGACAACTGAATATCTAACGCATATTGCGTTTACGCAATCCATGTACTGCTGGTTATGCATGTCAGGACTTCGATACTTAGCTGCCATGCATCCATTACAATATTCAACAGTCTGGAGGAATCCCTTAATTGCTATTATTGCCACTCTCATAATTGCTGTTATTCTTAACTTACAACTATTGACGACAATCGGAAGTGAATCGGAAGAAGGATGTTCAGCAAATCCAAATGTACTATTCTTTGTTTCATTTCTTCAGTTGAATCCATTCATTTGATAACCTCATAGCTCTATGACACCGCATATCGTACATGATATGCACTTTCCGTTTGTACAAAGTCATTTGCACATCCTAGCTTATATCCGCATGTAGCAATTCATAGATCACCTTTACGAGTATTATAGTTTCAATCTGTTTCAGATGACTTTCGTCATTTATGATTTAGTTGATGCCATTATCAGCTACGCCATTCCTTTCTGGCTTATTGTTTGGATGGATCTCCGGGTTTTGTGTGGTTGTAAACGGCGCAAAACTTCCGATCCTCTTCTTCAAGTTGTCTTCCATAAAGTTGACGAAGATACGGAAAAGGTTTTTATCGTAATCTATTGTATATACCATATTTTCTATATTTTTAGTCGAGGAAAAAAAATATGAGACGTTTCATGATCGTCACTCTTATCAGTTTGGCGTTAGCCTTTCCCGAAGTTTGTCTTAGTACAACGCGTGTATTGCTGGAGCCAAATTTCCAGACATCACCTGTAATCTTTTATGGAATCAAATTTTTATTTTATGTTCGAGTAAGTTTTTTCAATAGAACAAAGTGTGAGAATGACAAATAGAGAGAGAGAGAGAGAGAGAGAGAGAGATTGAAATTGAGATTGAGAGGGAGAAAAGTGGAGGAAGCTGAATATTTAATACTTCATATCGTTTGCAGTTTTCCTTCAACAGCTTCTATCTAACGGCTTATGTGTTTGATCGAAATGTTCTATCGAAAGCTTCCTCATCTCGTCAACTCTCTCTTTCAATTCGTCGTCTGGAAGAGAACCCATCCATCATACTAAGAGAGAGAAGTAATACAGTATCATATCGTGCAACAACACCAGTGCCTGTATTAACTCGCAATAGCTCCTGTATCATTTTAGATTCTCTCTCAGATACAAAGAGAGAATGGGTCTAAGAATCTAAATTTTAATCATTTCGAAACTATGAAAACTCAATTAGCATTTGTGATATGCAAAGATCATGTTCTACCACAGTACGAGTATTGTTCCAAACATTAATAACTAATAATAATAATTAATTTATAATAAAATATTTCTTTTTCATTTTCATATAGATTATCATATACACGTACAGATTGAGAAAGTGATGAGAAAAATATTTGCACATTTGTTGTTTTATTTTCTTTCTTCTAAAGCTCTCCTTTTTTGGATCGTCGAAGTAATCGCCGCTGAGCCAAAAACTGAGGATGACGTCGAACATATTCAGCCATCTGAATCAGAACAAAAAAAAGATTAAGTTTTAAGCTGAACTTTCACAAAATATTTCTGCTGACGTTACATCAGGAAAGATTAAGAGCGCGAAAATTATTATTAATAAGAATAATTCTCAATCATCTTTGATCTTAAGAACACCTCACCTTTTGAAGATTCTTCTTAAATTCTCCGGCATTGAAGCGATAATTCGCAAACTTCTTATGCGGTTTCCCCAACGACGGATGATTTTGGATGTTATCAGCTTCAATCAGATGTTCCTGAGAGTTCATTGAACAGTTGAAAACACAATTGAAACTAACCTTCGACTTCGGCCATGTGAAGTACTTGACACCTCGTAAACGTGCGAGATCTGAGTAACAGCCAGCATCATCACAATTGTATCTGAAAAAATGAAGAGGTGAATTGATTCATTAGTATATTCATCTTTAGAATAAGTAGTTTAGTTCCTTCTTTCTTCTTTCTCATTCAATAAATAGAGAATGACGTATGAAAGACAAGGAAAAGAAATATAATCCATGCTAACTATATACATATAGTTAACATTTGATGAAGAATACTACTAAAAGAAAACTTTTCTTACTTTTCTTTTCATTATTCTCCCCCCCCTCCTCTCCATATCTTTCCTTTCTTTCTTTTCATTTCATTTTTTACATTTTTCATGTATGAGGATTTGTTACTCTTGAAGTTTACCCACATTTCCATAATCGCTGCCCAATCGGGAAGGAAAAGCAGATGAGTTAAGCCACTGCCATGCATTCCAATGAATATATCCGAATTATGAGTTTGTTCTAATTGAAGTTTGAAAGGCATTTTCCTGAAGAATTCACTTAATATACTAAAGTATTCCAATCAGAAGAAACAAACCCATTATAATCCACAACTTTAACATCGACATTGTCTAACGACCGAGCCTCTTTGAGCAGCTGAAAAGGACGAGATAAGAAGAAGAAGAAGGTTTTAACTCTGTGAAAGCCAGATGAACTATTAAGCATGAGTCATTCCAGTTGTTACGTCATTCACGTAACATGATGAGTTACGTCACTACACGTGCAGACAACTCATCAGTTTTTCATTTTTGAAGTTCCAGCCACAGAGAGCGGTTGCATTGGCAGGGGAGAGGAAATAAGATGAAACTTTGTTTTGTTCGTAATTAGTCATTGTGTATTATTATGTGAACTAACACAAATACGATTATTATTCTCATAGCATTCATTTATCACTTCAAATATTGGCGAATTGAAAAGCCACGAAAATTGAATGTGTTAATAAATCTTAAAGAAGATAATCTAAAAAAGCTGTAGCTGTTTCATTACAGGAAAATAGCATAACATATGATGAGGGAACAGTCACAAAAAGATATTTAGCTCAAAGTGTAATGGAAAGCATGCTGAATGAACAGGCGAAGCGTCTGAGTGACACTAGTACCTTCTCTTCCGGGAGCTTCATCTCTTGATTTTTATTGATTCTTATGAATGTTTTGCTCATTATTTTTGATTTTTTTTTGTTTTCTCCATTCCATTATAATTACTTTCCAGCATTACATGAATCAAAGTATTATGTATTACTTCATCATCAGCTAACTTCTCAAAGAGTCACACAAGAGCCTTTGTTCCATATAAATATAAATATTTTTCTGCTCATATTCAATTGAATTATATTATTCATTCAATTTGTAGAAAATGGCTGCTCCCGTTCCTTTTCGAACGCATGATAATAAGGTTCATCCATTTTATAATTAATTAATGATGAGTATATCTATCGTACAGTATGCACCATCATTCCCTCCTGTTGTATATTATCGCGATACGTATGGATTTGATAAAGATAATAAGAGAGAATCAACTACAGATGGAAGTGATAGCGACAGCATAGCAACCAAGAGCACAAGTTTGTTTATATTTTCTACAACCACCAACATTTTGTATCATCCAATTCATTTACAGTTCGAACTACAATTAATAATATTCATCCAGTGAGTATGTATGAGAGCACAGGATCTCGTCGAACGAATATGACTCAATCATACCAGGTATTCGAACACTCAGCTGCTTCTTCATGAAACTCATTTATTCTGGAGGTGGAACAAGTGACGACAAATCGTATTTTAACAGCAAATCCAAGAACGTTACTGACATTGGCTCTGGTTGCTTTCGCTAGTGCGCTTCAATTGGTAATATGAAACATCCATACACGTTTCAACTTTCATATTTCAGTTAATATTCGCTATTATAAGTATTTTTTATGATGGCTGTCCATATTATATTTCTATTATAATTATTATTCTATTATTATTAAATACCTTTGTAATATTTATATTTACAAAGTGTCGCCCTACAAGGACATGGCTGGTAAGTCATTGAGATTTGAAACTCCGGATCTTCGAGAGAAAGAGATAAGAAATCATTGAGGACAGGAAAGAGATTATAGTATTAAGCAAGAGAGATAATGAAAACAGGAGAGAAAAGATCAAAATGATATTTTCTTTCTCCTTTTTGTAACAAAAGCTCTTTCATATGAGCTTCAGATGTGATATGACAAGTCGTCTAGACGGCCATTAAATTTCTGCCAATTGAACACATGTAAGTTGTGTCGCTTCAACCAAAGCACTAAATTAATGTGTTACAACTTTCTTTTGATGACATCCACCCAGACATGAGAGATGAACAAAAAAAAGACTCGAAAACGTAAAAAAAAGTCAGAGAAAGTAGGGTTATAGGCTAGTCAACAGCGAAATTTTATTCAAGCTTGAAGATATGCTTCTTTCCAGATTCTCAGTTGCATCTGTTCATCGCTTAGCTTCGTTCAGAGTATATCTCTATTTTTCTGGACAGCACACTTAATTAATAACGAAGATAAATATATTGAGAACGTAGGAGCTCATGACTATCGCATCATTACATCAACTAGAATAGCCATGTATTCACTACAGATGGTATTTGCTCCTATTCATGGTAAGGATCATCTCCCAAACAACTTCGCGTGTGTGGGGGTAACAAGAAGCAATATTCTGTTTGATACTTTCAGCAATAGCATCAGCCATATGTGCATATGTTTTATATAAACATTTAAGTTCGATGGATAACGATAAAATAACTAAAGCGTATTTCTTGACAGAAGCACCGTTAGGCCATCAGGTACACTTAGCCCCCTCTTCTAGCCACATCTTAGCCAAATAAACCGATCCTCAATTTTTTCAGAAAATTTTGGTTCCCATTGAGCTTCGCCAAGTTACGTCATCCAGTGATGATGATATTGATCAAGCTTCAATAGGTGTTCAAACAAGCGGCACAACAAGGACTCACATCTGATCAGAAAGAGAAGGAGAAAAGACCTTTGACGAGTAAAAAAACGCGATGTTTCTTGTTTGTGCGTGTACATTTTTTGCGCTCTCGAGCTTTCACAATAAAAAGTAAAACTCACCTCATCAATATTCAGAATTTGTCTGTATTTGGTAGTCCGTTGCAGTATGGTCACTCGTAATTTCTCCAAATCCGGACCTGTTTGCTCAACTTGCAAACGATGAAGAATGAAATGCGAAAAAGAGTGTATGAGGCCTGAACCGGAACATCCAGGAGTCTGGAAAAAGAAGAGTCCTTACATATCTATTTAATCAGTGATTTAACCAGTGGCATATTGTAAAATAATCCGAATCGTTGTCGAGCCAAGAGAGGAAGCATTACATCACGAAAGCAAACACGCTTTCCGGCCAAATTAATAAGCTCTGTAGGTTTCTTCACAGAGAATGCTTCCCATGTAATGCCGAAAAACTTATCTATGAATCCTTCTGAGTGCTAAAATAAAATTTCAACGGTGAAATCTGAACATTACAAGTATATCACTCACCGTGTCCCACCAAACGACATCAATCTGTTGAGCAAACGAGTTGTTGATGTGTAGAGAAGCATACAAGTTAACAAAATCGCAAAAATGGTGGTACATATTGATGGAAGCATCGAGCTTCATCAAGACTGTAGGACGTTCAAAAATTATATCACAATTTTCCTGTGAAACGGAAAAGCTGTTAGAAGACGAGAAGTGTTTCAACTCGTGGGCCCTACAATACAAAACTAAGTCTTTCCTTTTATTATCGTTGAATACCAAGACTGCAGATAACTCTTAGCATCCAAGTTCCGGTTCAGAACTTCAGAATTGAAGATTTCACAGTTTCCTCCTATCTCCCCTTCATGAATTAGATCATTCCTATACCTAATATAAGCGTAACTCTGTTTCTCACAAATGTGACTCACCTCGCTGATCCAGCAACTTGGAATGACGATAGATCAAAAAAGATGTTTCGTGCGTAACAATAGAGAAGAGAATCAGAGCAACTGAGGGAGCTCTAGAAAAAAGTCACTCGTCATAAACATACAACTATCATACTAACCATCAAACTATTGTTGGAAATGCATATTTCGTTTTTAATGAGGCGGCTTTTGAGGTAGCCAAAGTCCCCTTGATCAAAGAAAACTTGCGGAGCATCTCGAACAATAGGTCTGCATATCTAGTTTATGGCTTGATATTGGCTGAGATCGCACCTGTCGGTATGCAAATTGCATTTTCCTAGCTCAACTTCGTGAGCGTAAGTATCATTCAAGTGACAATCCTCCTCATATCCCCAACAACGAGAAGAAGTCAACAGATCACTCTTTATATTTACTTTTAATTCCGAGAGAAAGAGAGAGATTGACAGTTACCTTGATGGGACAATTCGAGTCTATGAGGCATCTTTCTTTCAAATCTATATTTGATCTTATATGATACTCTAGAAGCCGAGTTGGTAAGTTTAGATTTTCCCAAGAACTCGAGGTGCAGGAAAAACTACAGAAAGTCGTCAGTAGTAGTGGATAGAGCCACATATGGCTCTGGTCTTCAAGAACACTGTTGTGTTTGGGATAAACACCAATTAAAGTATGAACAACAAAACTAATATTTCCATGAATAAGACGTAATGGCATGAATATGTTTATTCTTTCCATAAAAACACGTACAAATGGCAAAAAAATTGTCGTATTTACAGATTATCAGAGAATTGAGTGTTTAAACAACAGAAAACCTAGTAAACCCAACTAACCGAACCTGAGATTAAATTACAAGGCTCCAAGTGAAAGACGCGAAAAATCTTTTCATGGATTTAACGGGGAGATATTGGGTTGAGACCCGTAAGAATTCCTTCTAGCCTATCCACCTTCACCATGAGATCGCGGACTATTTTATTGACGCAGCTTGCAAACCCTTTACCGCCATTTAGAGCCGGATCTAACTGCTGAAATCGAATGCCGTTAACACATCTGATAGGAAAATTGGTAAACATACCTTGTTTGGAGCCGGTTCGTTCTTCACATAATCAACTGCGGGAGGTAACTGCTCATCAACTATCATGCCGTCTTCCTCTTGGACTCCTTCCGCTATATTAACCGATTTTTTGCCCTCTGGAGTAGGCTCTTCCGGTGTTTCTTCACACCTTTCCATTCTTAGAGGACCAACAACTAATCTTGGCCGCTCTTTAAGTTCTTCTCTGAAGATAGTACAAATTAGAAAAAATAGAAAAAAACTGTTGAATACCTTAGTCTATACATTTCCTCGGAGGCTTGTTGTCTATCGGAAATTTCATTTTCGAGTAGAGTTATACGTTCGGTAGCCTCATTCAACTGAATCAGAAACAGCATTAAAGTAAATATTCCTTCATAGCATACCCTTAGAAGGTTATCATCCATAACTTGCTGATTGTTTCTTTCTCCTCTTTCCAAATCATCATTTCTCTGTTCTAACTCGCGGATTTTGATCCGACCAATGTTTCGCTCTTCTTCCGCAGATTTCAACTAAATTTCAAGAGGTGAAGAAAGTTCAAACACTTCACACAAGTAACTATGTGTTCGAACGGATGTTTCTCTTCAAACTTTAAATAGAATCCTTCTTTTAAAAAATCAAAAACCATTAACACTTTATGCGTAGGCTTTCAAACGAGGAGAGATTAAGAACAAAAGCTGAAGACTAACCTGTTTACGTAAAGAATCTTCTATTTTCAATACTTCTGCTTTTTCCGAGTCATATTTATCCTAAAACGGCGGAACTTAAAGCATAGAACAAAAACAAACTCGTCTTACCTTGAGTCTATCAAGTTCTGTTTGAACCATATGCAGCTTATTATCTTTTTCCCTCGCTTCTTTCTTTGCATACTCAGCTTCCTTTTCTAGCAGAACTTCAATCTCTTTGGAATTATTTTTAAAATCTTCATATTCCTCCTGGAAAAACCTTTTGTATAGGGCAGCAAAAGTTTCAATAGAGGGAACAGAAAATGCAACCGATAGCATCAACAACATAAATAAAAATGATTTCAAAGCAATCACCAAACTGAATCATTTTCAACAGAATCAAACGCCAAACCGGTTGCTTTCGAACATTTTAACAAAGAGTAGAAAGAAATATAACAAAAAGATAACTTAACGTACTTGAAGATTTATAAATTCAGCTATAAGTTGATCAATATTCAATTTCCTTAAATCCTCAACGCCCAGCGCCATTATTACATATAAAATTCAAATAAAAACTAAAATAATTATATTAATAAAAGAAAAGCATGAATAATACAAATTAAACGAAAGAGAAGTCATAATAATAATGACCCAGAAGCAATGATGCCAATGTGGTCGCAGTGCGCTTAGATGGAGCGCGTCTTCTTCTGAATACGCGCAAGTACAAAAAAGTGTTAATTCACACTGGAGAATAGAATGTTGTGTGTGAAATTAAGTTTAGAGAGAGAGAGAAATCGAACTTATTTAAGATCAATAGCATTGAAAGCCTGAATCGTCCATGTTTCTGAAAGCTTAAAAAGCTGTTGATCGATTTTGTGAGAGAAGAGAGACAGAGAGCAAACAATAGTGCAGTGGTACGCACATATTATCTAGTCAGTTCTGCTGACTCAGAGAACAAAGAGTACGATTCTCTAGTTTTTTGAGATGATTTTTGTTATGAACTTATCTATGTAATTGATTAGAACTTATAAATGTCAAGAAAAGTACAAATCATTTCTGGGTAGAGAGGGTACATCAATAACTAGGAATGAAAAATGAAGGAAAAGGGAGAGAGAGGGTGAAGCCAAAGATTAAGGTGTAATTCAAGATTTTGTTAGGAAAAAAGATTAAAATTACTGAGGTTCAATGATTAGTTTACTTTCCATCTTACAACCGTTCTAGACGTTCAATAAAAACAGAATGAGAAAGCTCTCCTACAACGTTCACGTGGGTTGAGTGAGTCACGTGGGCCGGGCGTCATGCAAATAAGACATTTCATTAAACAGTCTTAGGATAGAGAGGTAGGGTGTTGTTACGTTTTTATTAGAAACGCCTGAGTGATATCCTACGTTTCACACACATACACACACCCCCAAGCGAGAGAAGGAGGCTAACTTTCCGGTTTCTTCTCTGTGAAGTCATACATCTTCCTCATGAAGCAAAAAAATGTGATGGACGCATGCAAAACTTGTGATAAAATTTTAGTAAATATTTTTTATTTACAAAAGAAGCTTGTATAGTTGAATGAAAACAAATTATACTTAAGAAAGACACTAAAAGAGAATTAAACTTCAACAACATTCATCTCAAGTGAGCATAATTAACACTGGAGTTTTTACCCGCAATTGAAGATCTTAACACAATACAAAAAACAGAAATTTTACAGAAAATACAATTATTTACTATCAGATATCGATTCCACGGAGAAGAAGATGATAATTATCACCATCTAATATGACCTAGACTGAATATGCGATGCGGCTTTGATCAGTTTGTCCAAGTACTCTTGATGAACTATCAAACTGGACTTGAGCTCATCAGCTTTTTTCTCCAGGCTCTGGACGTTCTCTTTGGTTTTTTTAGCATCTAGAACAACATTGTTTTTCAAAAAACAAATGCAAATATAAATTCTTACCATTCAGCAGTTCTTCGCAATTAAAGGCATCAGCCTCATTAACATTTTTGTTGCTCCTCCTTCTTTTTACTGCATGTTTAGAGAGGAGCTCCTTGGCAGAAGCCGGCAATGAAAATGAAGTTGATCCCAGCTGATCGGCAAACGATCCTGTACTTGGTAGTCTCTCTAGAGCTCTTCGGGCGAAGCTTATTTCTTAAAAAAAAGGAATGAGTTTGGTCGATTATACATCATATGCTTAATTTGTTTAGCTTTCTTGGGCAGGATACACGGATTACCGGCCGAGTAAAACATTTCCGCCCCATAGCTTTTCTAACATGAAGTTTATTCTTTAATAAGCCTAGCCTGCCTTATATACCCTGGATGATTTTTCATTTCATCGTTTCTTTCCCATCAACCCCCTCGCTCAAATTAAAAGTTCTCAAAAATGTACCGAGCCATGAAGAATAGTTCTAATAATCATTTATCTCCTAATGTTATCAGTTTGGAAAAAAATGTCAAAGTTCCTAAACAAGAAATTTCCGATACAAGTAAGATTGTCGTTTTGTTCAACAATTTTCAATCCTTTAGCTCTCAAAGTCCAAGCTCAAACGAACAGGTTAACCGAGCGACAACGTGAAATTCTCAAGAAAACATTCCACAATATGGAAGGGGATTGTGTTAAACTAGGTTTAAAAATGCTTCTGAGGTAATCTATCTTTCATGCTCGACAGTTTTACTTCATTATAGGCTTTTTTCTGAATACCCTAGATACAAGCTTATCTGGCCCCAATTTCGCGCTATCCCAGATTCTTCTCTGATGCATGCTAATCAATTGAGGTGGATGCTGAAGGTGCTTCCAGAAAGTACATCAAGTGATTTCAGACGACACTCTTCCGTTTATATGGCGGGATTACGATCGATCATTCATTCTATGAATAAAGAAACCGAACTGGCCGATCAATTGATGCGCATAGCAAAAGCTCATATCAAATGGAATATTCATAGAAGTCATATTCAGGTTGGAAAGAAGAACACAAAAATACTTGCGAACTCAATAAACCATATGATGTTATTTAGCATATGCTGGATCCCGTTTTGGAAGTCGTGAAAGAAGCCAATGGATATGAAATGGACGATGAAACGAAAGAAGCTTGGACTACTTTATATGATGTGATCGCAGAACTTATTGAGATATATCGAGCCAAAGCTTAACGAAGTTTACACATACCTTTTTCGCTTAGAATTGTGTTGTTCAATAAATTATTCTCGCTTTCTAATGTTATGTTTGACAATGCTGTTGGTGCTCGGAATTCAGTTGTCGAATGGTATGTGAGAGCAGTTGAATTCATGATATCATTCCCTAAAAAGTGTATAAGCCAGCATTCATGTATGGCATGTTCCTCACTGAAGCTACTGTCTGGAAGAGAGTAGAAAGAATCCTCCTCAGCGATTGAATGAAATGAACTGTTGCCAAAGGATGACTCAAAAATAGAAGGTTCAACAGATATCCGTTTTCTTAAAAACAAGAAATCAGAACTTCTGTGCACATTTACTAGACATACCTCTTCTGTCCGTTCTTCATACTTAAAACAGTGTTTGCCAATTGTTGCGACCTATGAGCCAAAACCTGAAATAAACATAATATGATTGCTATTTTCTTCGGTCATACCCTGGCCATATATTCATCCCGTTTACGTTTATCACAGAAATATCTCCACTGTTGAATAGTTTTCCGACAAATTCTATTGATTCGTCTATGTTTAAAGAATGCCAATTTCAAAGACATTTCCGAATCAAATCTAGAAAGTGAAAAAATGCAATTTGAATATAAACAGACAAACTAACTTTATGTTTGAAGCTCCTCCTTTATTGTTGATATAGCGAGCCGGGTTGAAATCTGTAGGAACATATATAAGAAGCTACTTCGAAAAGGCACGTACAATCACATTTGAAATTTGGTTGGAAACTGTCCCATTGTTGAGCCCTCTCCTCACGGAACTTTCTTCTCGTAATTACCTTATTTCTCCAAGTATCCCAGAACTGCTTCAACCAAAGTTTCTTCATTTGATCTCGGAATTTGTACAGACCATCTCTGAGCTTCAACTTCTTAATTGGTATACTTGCTGATAGAAAACTGAACCTGGTTTTCCTCTTCCGTAATTGTTTTCTTAACTAGGATTTTCAGTTCTCTATCGACAAAAGAGGTAATAGCTCTTTCCCAAGTTTTGTGAGCTATAATTTCTCCAATATCAGCTATGTAGGATTTTCTTTCGAGACTGAATTGTATTTCTTCATAATTGAAACTCAACAGCAAATACCTCAACTCATGATCAATGAGTCTCTTCAACTCTTTCTCCACTAATGATTCTACTTCAGACTCAGCTATTGTAGAGGCAAAACTTTTAACACGCAGACGCTCGTTCAGTATTCTTTCCTGCTTCTCACGTAGTTTCGCTTCCACTTCAAGCTCTTTGGTGTAATCGTATAATACTTTTCTAGAGGAAAAATTGAACGAATTCTGCTGGTAAAATACCTGAACTGATCATTTATCAGACTTTCACTCAACTTCTCGGCAATCTCTCTGTATATACTTCTCGTAGTAGCTGCTTTCAGTTCTGCCTCAATTGCTTTTTCCAGAATACTCTCCGTTTGGGTTTTAATCTTGAAAAGGGAGAGAGATGAATTGAATGAATTGGAAATTCAACTACCATAGTATCATAAGGGTTATTAGGTGCTTCAAAAGATCTTGGCACAGAGCCGTCATTAGAATTAACGTCAGAGCTGCGCCTCATGACCTAAAACTCAAAAAGTTTAGAGTCAGTACACATTGATTCTCACTTCATCAGAGTATTCGGTAATCAGTCTGTTCAGAACAGCATCCTGAGTATAACAACCGTTGCTATCGAATGAGTTCGGAATTTCAGAAGGTTCAGGATATCTGAGCTCTCCCGATCCATACACAACCTATATGAATGACTTTACGTGGGCAGTAAAAACATGAAGCACAAACCTTACTAAATTTTTCTGAATTCTTTCTATCGATCCATTGATATGTTAGAGAATTGGTAGAAACACTGAATCGGAAAAATTCTTTATGCAGCACCACCTTCAAAATAATTTTGATTCCCAATTCACATTCGTAGCCTTCGTACTTGATCACATCCACTCTCTACTTGCAAGTTGCAATCTTCTAAAAACGCAATGCAAGTTTCATGATCATCGAATCCCAGGATTTTGGCAATTTTATCAATTGAAAACAAGGAATTTTGGTATGCTTTAACCATAACCGACAAAGCTCTTGTTCGAATCTATATGATGACTGTTAGTGAAGCTTTAAAGTAAAAACGAACCTCTCCGAAGACACGATGACAAATACAACATTGGAGGAACGACCCTTCTTTCATGAGAAGACGGAAGAATCTATTAAGACCTATGTCACATACAATAAGTTTCAAAAACAAACCTAACATAATTTTTGTTTTGAATGGCACCAGCTAATTGGATAGCTAATCTTACGGCTTTTGATTCCCTTACTTCTTTTCTGTAAGAAAGAACCTGGAAAAAGAAATTGTATCTCAGTTTCTCATTCCAGCAGTGTTTATTACTTGACGAAGCACGTTACTGTCATGAAAATGAAGCATCACATCATAGGCTCGGAACTCAGCTTCTGTTTCGAAAAAGATTCCTCTCTTTTCTGAAAATAAAAAAAGCATAGGCGATGTGAAGTCGTACTACCTAAGTCATGATAAAGATGTCTCAATGTTTGTAAACATTTTCCCAGATTTTCGCTGTTCATTTTCTCATCAAACTGATCCACTGGCAGCGTGCATAGTTGATAAGCACTTAGAATGTGAAACCTTGTACAACTAAATGCGATATGTTAATGTAAATAGTGTTGTTTATGATACTTTTCAACTAATAAGATTGCAGTTTCATCTGATAACGATAACTGTGTAACTTCTTTTCTAAGAGCTCTAGTTCTTGACCATAGAAAGTCATACCAAGCGGCCAACTCAGCATAATCCGGCATGTTATCAAATATCTTTAAACAACAAATCAAGAAATACAAAATTCATTGCTAAAAAATTAACCTCCAAGAGTAAATATGAAAGAGAAGCATGGAGCATTTTTTTCGTGCGTAATTCATGGGGTAGCGGCTTTTCTTGATCAGCTGCACTCCTGGCATAATCCTGATGGAGAGAATTTTGTGAAAGAAGAAAGAACTGATGAAAAATTGAAAAAAGCGAAAGAATATCAGAAACAAATAAATGTAATATGAAGAAAAAAAAACAAAAATTATGTTTCCAAACAAAAAAAATTGAATCTTTAAACTTACTTTGACCATTTTATGTTCTATCATCTGTCCATGATGATCACATTCATATGGAGACAATCGTTTTTGGACAATACGAGTATATCTCTCACTTTCCGAGCACATTGCCGTGCATTCCCCTGTGATCTTTTTAGCTTTTCCCTCAGCTTTCTCTGTTGCCTAAAATAAGGAGCTGTGGTGTAGCTCAAACTGAAGAACCTTACGCGACGCCATTCACATAACAGTTTATCTCTTTCTTTTAACAACTCATACTTATCGAAGTCACCTGGACACAACTTCCCTTTCAAAGCGAATAAGGCACTGAAAACGGACAGATATGGTAGAAGAAGAAGAAAAATTACTTTAGTGCTGCCACTTGCTCTTCATTCAAACTGATTGCCTTTTTAGAGAATCGAATCTTAGAAGGCTTGAAAATTTTGAAATCATGGTCGGCTTTCTGTAAGGAAACGCATATTTTGGAAAAAAGCAAAGAGCAAACTTTTGGTGCCTCAGGTTCAGGAGATAAAGCATGTTCCGTTTCAATGTTTTTTCTAGTCCAAACCATGGAGGAAGGAGCTTTATTCACTCTACGTACAAGTCTGCCTTCTTTCATCTTCGGTGCTTCTGTTCGTGCATTACTGTCTTTAGTTCGCACAAAGCTGAATCGCTGTGGATTTTTTAAGTTAGCACCAAAACCCGAGAAAGCTAATGGTCTTGGTTGAGCTTGATCTGAAAGAAACCCGTAAAAACTTCTGAAAGAGAACTGAACCTCCGGTAGTTTCCTTTTGCGCGTTGGTTTTTTTTGATAAACTCAATGGAATTTTGAAGTTATATTCCATTGAGTTTCAGTTTGAGGCGGTGCTTCTAGAAAATAAGATTACAAACCCGTTCAATTCTCATTTGAAAAGATATTAATATTACGATAAAGTTCATAACCGAGTAATTTAAATAAGCACCTGATGCATTCCGAACTCGCTCGCTTTGTAAACAGCATGCACACCATCAAAGGTCATGGTTTTTCATTACATGAATAGTAAGATTTGGGTAAAGTGTTGCTCTACTTTCAGAATGATTTGAGTTCAGAATATAAACATAGGCTTAATGAAAAAAGAATTAAAAATAAATATTGATTAAGTTTGAAAAATCTCGGGGGAAGGTTGGCATTTCTGCGTCTCTGGCAGTGTCCTTGGTCTCTTGGTATGATCTCATTCGTCCTGATAACAGGTTGAGCGAGTTGTTCCTTACTCAGTGTTTTCTTTTGAACTTGTTTTTCATATACTATCAAATACAGTTTTAGAATGAATTGGTAATCGCTAGCCTTTAGTTTGTGAAATTTCTGTCAAACCTCCTTTCATTCATTTTTCTAGGATGACCACAACCTTCCCTTCTTACATAGTGGATGCTTTCACCAAGCAACCATTTAAAGGTAATCAGGCTGCCGTTTGTTTGATACCCAAGGTATTGCATCTCAAACTTCAATCCTCTCATTTTATTATAGGTTCTGGCGAACAATGAGTATCAGACAATTGCTGCTGAGTTCAATTTGTCTGAGACAGCTTTTCCTGTACCACTTGATGGAGATTATCGAACAGGTGGAAGAGTTCAGAAAATCAAAAACAAAAACTTTCTCCAGCTACTCGCTTTTCTCTCAGATGGTTTACTCCAATGGTAGAAGTCCCCTTATGTGGGCATGCTACTCTCGCAACTTCTCACGTTCTATTCTATGAGATAGGTTCGTTGACATTCCCTCTTCTCAAGTCAGCTGACTAAAGAAAAAAATGTTTGCCGATAAAACTAAAGACTGACAGAAATCAAGCTAACGTTCTTCTCTCGAATCTGCAACTCACAACTAAAATTAATTCTCACTTCAGGAAACGTCAATGAAAAAATTCTGTTCACCACCAAATCCGGTGAGCTCGTGGTGAACAAATCATCCAATGGAACTGTTTCGATGAATTTTCCGCAATACTCCATTTATTCATTGCACTTGGAGGCTAAGCAAATAGCTGGAGAAGATGCTTTCCGAATCGTAAGCTTTGAATCATTTTTTTCTTCTATTGTTATCATATAGAAAGAAGGTTTTTCTTTCCTGAACGATCTCATAGACGCTCTTGTTCCCTCCGTCATATCTGTTCAAGCCGTTACCTATGCTCCAGATGCGAAAAAACTCATAATAACGCTGAACCAGGAAACAACAAGGTTGTCTGCTTTTTTTTCACGTTTTCTGATTCATCTATTTTCTAGATCACAACTGGAGAGTATAGTCTGCGATCCGAAAAAGTTATTGTCCACTCATCCTTCAGGAGAAACTATTCGAGGCGTCATGATTACTGTTAAGCCTACCAAGGCTAAAGAACAAGTTGGCAGATTGTTCGGAATTCGAAAATGACAAAGATTTTCAGGGATTCGTGGACATCGATGGAACGAGCTATGATTATGCTTCTCGTTATTTTGCTCCATGGGTAGGAATAGCCGAAGACCCAGCTACAGGCTCTGCTCAGTGTTGTTTGGCTCCTTACTGGTCGAAGCTATTACAAAAACAAACAGTTTATGGTTTTATTTACGATCGAATGTGAGAATGATTTTTTACTCATTTCAGCAATTCAATGTTTTCCAAATCGTGGGGCAGAGTTTGAGGTTGAAATACCCAATTCCGAGCGTGTGGTTTTAATTGGAAAATCTCAAACAATTGTGGACGGGAGAATCCATATTTGAAATTGAATTTAGGCAAACATGTTTAGTTTCTGAGAGGGATTTACCCTGCGAACATCCTGTAAATATTAAAATGTACACAGAGATAACTCCCAATGATCGATACGATTGAGTTGTAAAATCTCTTGTGTTTCTTGAAGTAATCTTATTATTTGATTCTCTTTAATTTTATAAAGCTTCCTTTCGAAGTACATTGGCTATGTTACAGATTTTACAAATCGGCTACGGCTGTAAAATGATAAAAATTCCGATTTATAGAAGTAAAATCTGCTCTCAATATAACTGAATCCCTTTAAGCATCAGTTACGTAAGCCAACTATTCGCAGATAGATCGCAATTTTTTACAAGTTAACAGTGAAATTTTTCTGGAACAATTACTTGCTGACGGTTGCATTTCCCTATCGGAAAGTTTCCGTATTGCCATTTCCTCAATGAATTTTTTAAACGAATTTCCCCTTTTCAGTCGCTATATCCAGCTACAAAGAGAAGTGTTGGAAGTTGCAACCCAAAAATGTTTCGATCTACGGAAGAATTTTATTCTCGAACAACATTTGCGCAATCAACATCTTATAATCATATTTCATTTATTTCTATTTTACTCTTTCTTACACAGAATGCTCATTCGACTCAGAACACGAACCGTCTGACCAAATAGGAAACAGGAATATAAAGCAGAGATGTCAAAGTGGAAGAAGACTTTCTGGGAGACACTCCGTGGCCAATTCCTGATCCGTCTACAGAAAAAGTAAAATGATAAAAATAATTTATTGAACAAACAAACCTTGATGGTTATGACGTTCGGGTACAACTCCTCCTCCAATAGAATCGTATCCTAAAACAGAATATAGTAATTCTGATAAAACTTTCTTCTATAAACCTTGATGGTTCTGACGAGGACGGTAAATATCTGGTTCATTTCCTCTGACAAGTTGATCTAACTCTGAATAAGTAAATATCAGAAAAACGTGTGAAAAGTTTTATCATCCATGTTTAATCTCAAGAACAGCCTATCACCCACATCTCACACACAAAAATATGTTTCAACTATTTAATATGTTTTTCTGCGCTTATGCTTGCCCATGACTTACCCGAACGGCGAGTTCTGTAAGAATGATGTTTGGATTTGTGATGATCTTTAGTGGCCTGATAACCTAAGATAGTTCCAAACTCATATTTAACAAAGAGCCATAAGCAAGAACAAACCGGATACACCAGATCCGATACGATGTCCCACATCTACACCGCTTCCAATATGATGTCCCACTTCTACACCGCTTCCAATATGTCTCGTAGAGGGAGGTGGTGGAGGAGGGTGATGATGTTTTTTATGGTGATCTCTATGATGTTCGGGAACAGCGCCTCTGCCAATTGATCTACGCATTTTTATTTGAACACCTTGACCGATGCCAGGCTTTGAAATTGAGACACCTGAGCCAATGCTACCAGAGGGAACTTTCGCATCTTGGGAATCTGGCCCAACATTGTTTAAGCCAACTCCTCCGCCGATGGCAGGTCCGCTTTGATCATGATGTCTATCGATACTAACCCCTCCTCCGATAGATCTTGACTCTTCCACGCCAGCTCCACTTCCTATGTGATGATTTTTGCTACTTCTCACAACAGCACCAGAGCCTATTCCCTCATTAAGTTCGATTTGGGCATTTCGACCACCAAGATTTCTTGGGATTCTAGCGAAAGGCCTGCGATATGGCTTGTTCAAATACTCTGAACATATTTTACAATACAAGAACATTTTTCAGAAGTTTTGCATGCATTCTACTTTAACTCAAGAAAAAAGCGTTAAAAACTGAATCAAATAGCTCACCGTCACCTGCAACGAGAATTGAGTTATCGCCTGAAGAATATATGAGTTTGAATGAACAATTTTACAACGCTTACTGTTGCATTCATCATAATCGCAAACACTGCAACTTCTGCCATGCTGGTTGGCAGCAGGAACTCTGTGGCAAGAAGAAGCACATCCCTTAGCAACGGCTTAAATATCATACTATACTGTTGATCAACTCATAGTCGTGACTAAACTAACCTACATGACGTTCGAAAACGGTATAGCAGCTCAGTGAATCAGGACAGAACTCTTTTGTTTGTGTTGTGCATGATAAATAAGAATCACAAACTATACAATCGATACTGAGACCTGAAGCACATAGAGTTTTACAGAATTTTAAGTGAACTTTTTTTACATGAAGCTATGCAGGTGGCTAGAATGCACACAGCGAGAAACCTCATTTCTGAAAATAACAATGGAGCTTCGTTACAGTTGGTACGAAAAAATCTGATCCGAAGATAATTTGGCCGCAAAATAATAAAGAACTCTTATATAATCTTATTTTGTGTGGGAAGGAATTGACAGCAAGGATCATTAACTGTGCCTTATCATCCGAAAGCAAAAGTAGATAGAACCCATTCGATAAAATAAAAATTTAATAGAATGAATACCTTGAAGGATACATATGATTCATATTTAAGAAAACATACCTTGAATATGTAAATGAGGACATCTCAAACCTGAAAACGTAAGACGTATTGGTCATCATCAAGTTTAGTCAAACCGAAGTTTGTCCATTTCCTGTAATGTTGAAAATTTTTTTTTTGATAAGTATATCCTGAACAAGAGTTCGTAGGGTGCACATGTGAATCATCATGATCTACATTTAAATATATGTTTAAGCGGGAAAATAAGAAGCTCCTTGAAGAGCAACCGTTTCATTTTTTACCAGACTGTTCGACTTTACCGGTTGTTTTCAAACTTTGGGAGTCGTGATTTATTTCCAAAAGCTCCATCTACGCTTTTTTTTCAGTTTTGAAATGCGACTAATCATATCACCTGATGAAAAACAACTCAGAGAATCCAATGAAGGTACGTCATTAAGATATGCTTGTGCATAGTAAAGTTGATTTTGTCAAGGAAAAGATAATTTTATCTTTTTTACCATGATAATTATCATCATCAAGCTCTTAATACTAGCTGATACTGATTATTTATCTGTCATTTACATTGTTATCAGTTGCGTTTATAAGCTTTAAAACTTATAGCAATGTGAATGGGCGTTGAATTTTCCCAGATTTGCATTTCTTCCTTTGTTAAATGAGGATGAGTCGTTTCTTTTGTTATCTGATGTCTAACTGTTTCAAGAATGGCCGCCAAAAAAGAAAAAGAACAACAACTTATATGATTGTTCATTTGTGATTTAGTTGCCATGAAACGAGGCTCATAGCAACGTTTCTAAGCTTAAAATAACTTATGTCATTGGCTCTCATAATTGTTTGTTTTTGTTTAAATTCTGACTCTGACTATTTAGCACAAATAGATAGTTATGAATGTGAAAGCATACAATGAGTTATTCTATTTAATGCTGGAATACCGCCCAGTTTTATCGTGATGGAAGAGGAAACTCTCTTATCGTCAATGCTATTTCATGCCACATTTTTCGACGGCCTTTCTCTTATACTGCGTCACCTTTTCTTCATAAATAAACTTCAAACAAATGAAACGGTTTCCTTTTTTTCTGTTCCTGATCTTACACCTGCTTTGCTCCATTTATCTGTTCCTCAAAGTTGTTAACAACAAAGATAATAACCACAAAACCGCAAGAAAAAAACTTTTAAACAAGTTACATTTCAGAAACATGCCTCATGCGAAAGTGTCGAAACCGCTGAAGAAGAAACCGGTTCCAAATGCGGCTAAAAGTATGTGTCGCCGCCAATTATACTTTCGTTACGGAAATGAACTCTATTCCAATTATATATTTTAAGAAAAAAAGGATGAGCCACAACTGAGAAGTTTGCCGAGAAAACGCACACAGGCAGTTCCTTTTCAACTCGTAGATTCTGCGACTATTAGGCCAGCGAAGAGAAGAAAGATAGCAAAAGCATCTGTTAAGAAAATAGAAGAAAATGTTAGTTCACCTGCGAGAATCAGATCAAATCTGATATGTTTAGAAGAAGAAAGCGAAAACGCTGAAGCCCAAACCCAAAACATCGAAAGCAGCAGGAAGTAAAAAGAATGGAAAAGTTACCGCTAAAGTTAAAACCGGGAAAGTTACGAAAAAGAAAATCCCCAAAGAGCCGAAGGTTATTTCTGCCTATCAAGTTATTTTCATATTCTTTCTTCAGGTTAAAGCTAAAGCAAAGAGAGGAAACGATAAACTGAATCCAAGAACTGGAGTTCCCCAATATGAGGTCAGATATTGAAAATGATCAAAGTTGATCAAATCAGAGGACATTTTCAGGAGAATCCTTTCTTGGATAAACCTCTTGAGGATCAAATCAGTAACAAAAGCTTCCATCGTGTTGTAATTAGGCATATCCTCAAGAAGAATACAAAAGGTCTCGAGTCTATATTCAAAGCCAACAAGTACGTGGAAGCTTTGTTTATAATAATAAAAAATTTTAATTTTTATAGGATCAATGGATCAAATTTGACACAAACTTTTTCTTATGATATTGACATGTCACCAGAGAGTGCGATTGCACTCAGCGGTGACTTGAAACTGATCGAAAAGTTTTTCAAGCTTAGGAAGCAACTTAGTAATGAAAAGTTTGTAGGAAATGAAACAAATTTACTTCATCAGGTTTATAAAATATACTTTCAAACGATCGTTTTGTTTTAAGAAGCAAACAGGGAAATCCAGTTATTATATGATTGGACGACATACGCGGGGGGTCGAGATGACAAGAGGTTTGCCAAAACTGTTCTTGTTTACTTTTTGCTCATATTTTTATTTGGTATGTAGGAGGAAAAGAAGGCAACAACGCTTTTCTTAAATACGAAGGAAAAACTAAGCGACTCCACAACTCTTGCTACGAACTGTTGGAGCACAATGTGGATTATGATGTCCTCCAAAAGTTATCTAAGATCTCAGACTCCGGTACAATCAAAGGATATTTCGGACCGGAAATTTTCTTTCAGCCGTTAATCATCATTATCTTTCTTCCGGCGTCGTTCGTGCTGCACGTATGGGTCACGTCTCTCTAGCATCAAAGTTGGCTGAAGCTGAAGCCAAAGACAATTTTAATGATCTTCATCGTTTCACCCTCAAGTAAGCTTTCATAACTCATCTTCTCTATACTCGTATGTTTGTATAGAGGAGGCGATATGCCAGCAAGAATTTTGCCAGTATCATTGGCAAAGAAAGGCTTCAATAATGCCAATATTACGCCTATTCATACCGCTGCTATAAATGACGACATTAAAGTAAGTGATAAGGAAACAGTTCAAACAAAATGACAAATTGATACAGATTCTAAAAAGGTTGAGCGAAATAGATCCCAATATAAATATTCCGGACAAAGATAATTGGTTTGAACGTTTAAATTGATAATGCTTTTACAATAATGAGTTAGGTATACAACCCACTATGCTGCTGTCAGTGAATCTTCGGAAGTTCTACAGTATTTATTGAATCACACAGGCGCTCCAATAAACTTATTCACCAAGAGTTTGGAATCACCCCTTCATTGTGCTGTTAGAGCTGGAAGATTACATAATGTGAAAGTAACTTGGAAAGAATATTCTTCAACATACGCTCTTGTACTCGCAGATTCTTCTGGATCAAATTAAGAAGAATGAAGGCGATATCAAGGCTGAAAAATCCCTCGTGAATATGCGGAATCGAGCTGGAGACACTCCTTTAATGCTAGCTATACGTTATAACAGGTTTTTCTTGCAATGAAGTGAGGAAAGTTTTTTAAATTTGCTTCTCAGGGTTGACGTAGTTGAAGCTTTACTAAGCCACCCATCTATAGTTCCCGATATCCCCGCTTCAGTAGCACAAATGAAAAGAACGGCACTTATGGTTGAATTCAAACATATAATCTTTAATCAAAACGTTACAGCTTGCTTGTGCTCTAGGCTTGAAGCCTATTGCCAAAATGTTGGTAGAGAGAAACTGTCTTGTTGAAGGAAAAGACCAAAAAAAAAGAACTCCTCTAATTCACGCTTGTCTCAATGGTCAAACTCATATTGCTGCTTATCTTCTCCAACTGGGTGCAGATTTGAAAGCTGTAAGCTTTCGTTGATTGCTTGAAAACTTTAATGATTTTGCAGATAGACAGTTCCGCTAATTCTGCTGCTCATTATGCTGCAGCTTATGGTTTTACGGATTGTGTAACCTTACTGGCAGATGTAATGATTTGAATCTGAATGAAAAAAATTCAAAATGATCTCGTTCAGATTGATCCAACTGTTCTATCAATGGAGAATGATTGGAAAATAAGTCCGTTTTCTGTTGCTTATTTGAAAGGTTTATTTTTGAAATGACATCATTCGTTTGAAAGTTTTTATCAGGACATTATCGCCTAGTTTCCGTTCTTCTCAATGGAAAATATAAAGCGTACGTGGACATAAACGGAAAAGATTCTGATGGTGTAACGCTTCTATCTTCCATACTGAGATATAGCTCCGATACATCTGGCGAGATACTCTATGACCAATTAAACTTCCTCATTAGCAAGTATGTGAAATGTAGCAATTATACAAAAGTGAATTACTAATCCTCATTATAGAGGGGCTGATTGTGGTCTCCCTGATGGACGAGGCAATACACCTTCTCATGATTTTGTGAATCTTAAACTTCCTGTGATACCGGCAGAGAGTTCTTACTCGAACTCTTTGACTGGCTATAAAAAATGCTGCGATTTACTTCTGAAGAATGGAGCTTCTCTAACTGCTCGCAATGACAAGGGTACTACAGTTAGTTATTCTGGGATCATTTTCTAGTTAAGGTGTAACTCCTTTCCACATGATTTGTGGAAATGGTAACTTTCATCTGCTCCCTTGGCTTCTGAACGGCTTCGATTTAGATAGTCATGTATTTTTCCAAGATTGGTATAGTTAAGTTCAGTATTGTTTGTAAAATATCTTCACAGGTCTCAAGATCGAGGTTTCTTACATGATCTTCTGAAAGCGGCAATAGTTGCTTTCGAGAAGCATTCCAATAATTTAAATTACTCTTTTGACCCTGCTTGCTATGATGTGCTTCACATCATTCAACTCTTGTCAAAGGTATATCTAACACTTGTTGTGTATATAGAATCTTACTGCAGAAGTTCGGAAATGATTTCGACGTACAGAAAGAGCTGAGCAAAACCAACAATGAAGGATTAACACCTCTCATGGAAATGTTGAATTGCCTTAAAAATGGCTCTTGGGCTGGTTCGAAAAATGTGTCTTCTACAGCGTTAGAGGTTCGGTTAAGAATTTTAAACGCTCAGAAAATTATTATGTTACCTTTATAGCAGTTCACAGACTTTATTTTCCAACAAGTTCTCGGAATTATCAAGATTGATAGATCAGCATTGCTGAAGCAGTTTGAGATTAAAAAAGAAAACGATGTGAATCCTGTGAAAACATCAATCCTTGCTGTAGCTCTATCCATCAAATTTAACGAGAACTTCAAACTACTTCAAAAGATTATAGTTGATTCCAAATCATATTTGAAAAACCTGTAAGTTGAATTCTCGAACAAATTTGTTGAAGTTTTTGTTCAAGTAACCCATGGACTATTCAAATTGGAGAGAAACCAATTCTTATCGCAGCCATTGAAACAAACGAGAAGGCTGTCAAAATCTTGTTGGACAATCTCGAATATGGTGAAGACGATAAGTGCTTCCTTGAGTTGTACGACTTCCCGGATACGAATGATCCAAGTATATACTGTTTGCTCAGTGATTCGTTCATGTTATGTTCATTATAGAACTCAAAATTCAAAAAAACGCTCTGATGTTGATGGTCGAGCACGGTATGCTTAATGAAATCTTGCAACTTCCCCTGACTACGGAAGCTTTGTCACCTTCAGATTCAGGTTAAAGTGTTGCCTGGAGTTGTCTAATTCAACCTTTTCCAGATGGTAATAACTTAGCGCATTATATTGCTAGTAGAAACCACCCTCAATCGGTCGAACTTCTCCAGAAATTACGGGCTAAAAAATTCTTCAACAAAAATAAGAGGGGAGAAACCCCACTGCACAAAGCAGTAATAGCCTGCACATCAGGAAAGAGTTCGTTGTTAGATACCCTCGAGTATTTCTCTGCCAACATATCCGTTGAGATTGCTGATGATGTAAGGAGCTTTTCAAATCAACAATAATCTATTTATTTTAGGAAGGGAGGACAGCTTTGCATTATGCATTTGGAACTAGAGAATCGTTCGATGATATTTCTTTGTTAGTGAGACGTGATCCCATTGCAATCATTTCTATCTTGACTGCAAAAGCTACTCCTGAATTGGTATACATCACTTCTTTTTCTGTCTACTAATTTTTTATAGATGAATAAGAAAGATACTTACGGTAACACGGCTCTGCACTTAGCAGCTTACTGTGACTCTAACGTTTGCGCTGTGTCTTTATTGAGAAAAGGGGCTCTGATCAATGATGAGAATGAGGTATTCATCCTTCAGTAATGTTTCGGCTGAACCTTAGAACTTGATAGGACGGGAATACTCCACTTGGCATTGCAGTTAGCCGGGGAAACAAAACCGTAGCTTTGGCTTTGCTTCAGGCAAATGCTGATGTTCATAGAAAGGTTTGTCCTTCGCGAACGGAACGAAACAAAACTTGCGAATTGTAAGGTTCTCCTGGAAGACCCTGAAGAGGAAAAGGACACCTGTTGGCTTTGGAAAGGAGATCTTGATGATAAGAAAGAGTCAGAAACCCTATCTTCTATCATTAGGGAAGTTATTAAACGTGAAAAAGACTGGGAGTCCATGGTTTATGTCATGATTGATGTAATTGGAAATGTACGTTTGTTCTCTGAAGCTCCTGATTACTATACTCCTATTAGGATTCAAACGCTTTCAACCAGTTAGTGGAATGCTGTCTTCAGTTCAAACAATATACGCTAGCTAATCAGCTTCTGAAGTCGATTGAACTCAGAAGTGGGAATGAAACATTTGAGGACAAACTTCGGCTATTCGATCAATTTGCTCGCTATCACCCAGGCATTTTTTCATTTTCCATAGTTAATTTCAAACTTATAATATTAGGTAACTTGAAGAAAGGAGAAATTGATGACATAGTATTCGACCGTCTTCTACGCATTGGAGCTGTACTGTTGGAGGACAATGTCTGCACTCCAATCGAGTTAGCTTTACGTAAAGGGAACTTCTCACTCTATAAAAGGATCAAAGTAAGTGATTTCAACTAGAGACAAGAATAAAGTTTGCTATTTCTTTTAAGGAGGTCATCGGAGAAAAGCAATTTTCACTGTTGAAACCGTCAAGTCTTTATGGAGGTCCATTGAAGGAAATAATTCACGCCTTGTCTAAACAATATATTAACTGGGAGGGAAAACATATATTGAAACAAGTTTTACAAATCAACAAAATAAGGTAAGCATTCTGTCTCTTCTGATGTGTTTATTATTACTTTCAGCCGGGATGATTCGCTATCATTACCTCTGATGAAACATCTGAAATCGGAATCAATCGATGGTCCCTTCACAGCATTGGAATGGGCTTGCCTTCACGATTTGAAAGACTTGGTCGTAGTGTTGAGAGAAATGGATTTCGACTGTAATGTCGTCGATATCTATGGAAGAACACCTATTATGATGATTGCTTTAGCTAACTCTCAATCAGCTTTCGAAGTATATCTCTTGCGTAATTCCATATACTCAAGTTATTAATTAAGGCTCTGTATTGTGAAAAGTACGAAAAACCCACTGTAGCTAAAAAGCAAATAACTGCCAATAGAAACACAATTTTCACGATCATGTCATCACCACGTTCAGAAGAGTAAGATAGTTATTTGAAGACGAATTGTAGTAGAAAGTTTTTCCAGTGAGAATGCTGATTTCGCTCCAAATGCGTATGGCTCTGCATACGAAGAAAGCTCAGACGACGGCACCTCTTCGAATTCTGGTTCTCATAGTAGTAATAGAGATGAAGAACCAGAAGATAATAATGATTCTGAGCAAACCTATACCGTGAAGATCAACAACAAAAAGGTTCGTGAAGTATTTCAACACGAATAGTAAGTATTAACGTTCCAGTTTTCGCTCTCAGCTAAGGATGAAAATGGAAAGAGCGTTTTCCATTACTTCGTTGAGCCTTTCTCGTGGGAGAACGTAGATTTTTTGAAAACTCTTGTTGATCATTTTGGTAAAAATGCGAAAGCGATACTTGCTGAAGCCGACAAAGTCGTTTTTCATAGGTTAACAAGAAATAATTAAACATTTCAGGATGGCAATACACCGGCTGAAATCTGCAAGAAAACTCTTCAAGTGAAAATGTATAAAGCAATCCAAAAACATCTTTCGTCGACCGTTCAGAAGTAGAACTTTTTCCAAGACAGTTCTTCTAATCTTAATTGCAGGATTGTTATTCCTCTTCCTTCAGTCTCTATTTCCTCTCCTTATAACATCGACGAACTAGCTGATAAATATTTAAGTGAATATACTGAAAATGATTCAATCGAGCTCGTCGATGAATTGAAGCCAAATGAACTCAGTGGTTATGTAGAAACAGGTACGATTGTGATCTGTCCGGAAACAGGAGAGCCCATGAAAGTCGGTTTATTTCTAACCAGACAATTGTAAATGATCTATTTGAAGGCCTTGATGAACAAAACTGATATTGGATATGGTCGCTATGGTTTCCATAACTTCTATCGCCTGGAGCTCATCAAAAGAAAAGACACAGAACTCTACATTTTATTCACCAACTGGGGTCGTATCGGTTCAGGCGAAGGGGAGCATCAAATCACACCTTATGGATCTCTTGAAATAGGTGTGAAGGAGTTCAAATCTGTTTTCAAATCAAAAATGGGGCAAGAATGGAAGAAATTATCAGAAATCGAAATTATCCCTAAACGTTATCGTTTAATCCAGGTATATTCACTTTTAAAAAACTTGAACAACTCTTTCAGAAAATCGAAAAAGTGAAAACTATCGCTGATATTGACATTCCTCCTTACACCGAGGATGTTAGCGAGAAAAGTGAAGAAGATCAGTTTATAGCTGATGTTACGGACGTAAAATTATTGAAGAAATATATGAAACAGGTACTTCAAACGCATTTTCCGAACGTTTATATTACTTGTTTTAAGGGATCGAGTATGAATCAAACTTTACCTTATGGGCGAATCGATAAAGCAAGTTTACAAAAGGCTAAGGACATTCTGACTACATGTGCTCAAATTTCGAAAGCTTTTCTTGCGGATACCGAAGCGACCACAATTACTCTGGAAGAGAAAACTTATACGATTTTAGAAGCGTTACAACAAGTGGTACGAGACGAATCTCTCTTATCGGCTCATTCTTTTTTTCATTCAGAATGATCTCTCAAGCGAATTTTATGCTATTTTACGACCAGGTACTTTTGAAAGCTCAATGCTGCCTCGCTTCGACAGCGTAAGTTATACTTACGCATTAAGATAATGACTGTCATTTGTTTTAGCAGCATGAAATCAAACAAGCATTCGATCTCATCAGACGCTTAACTGAAATAGAAGCCGCAACAAGGATTTTAATAGCATCTCTCAGTTATCCTAGTATTGACAGATTAACGTAAGCTTTAATTTAATTTTCCTAAGCAACGTTTTTTGTAGGTTCATCAGGCAATCGTTGACATGTGAACTGAAAATGCTCGCTGAAGATGATCCTATGTCACAGCATATTCTCCATTGGATTTCAAATTCTTCCAAGCCACATCCTAGTGTTAAGGTAATTATGCAATGCTCTTATACTCATTTACCTATCCTTTTAAGGGTATCATGTCTATCTTGCCAGAAAAACCATTAGGAAAATTCGCTCAGTTTGCTAAGGAAGACAAACAAATGTATGTTTTTATGAATGTTCAGCGAAAGAATACTCATTTCTAGATATCTTTTCCATGGCACTAAGCCAACCAACATAGTTTCTATCATTGAGAATGGTCTACAAACTAATCCCGTTTTTGCTCGAAGAACTGGTCAGCTCTTTGGAGAAGTAACGCTTATATACCACAAAAATTTGACAACAATATGTTTTTGAGGGGGTTTATTTGGCTGATACATTCGAAAAAAGTCGAGGATACTGTGCACCTTCGAAAAGAGGAATGAACTACATGCTCATCTGCCAGGTGAGTAGAGCATTATTTTAGAATCCCCATGCAAAGCATATCCCCTAGGTTGCTCTCGGTGACATTGTGGAAGAAGTTTCTAATCAAAGCACATTCTATCGCACAGAATTTACTGAGTTCAAGGATTCTCTGGTTGTTCGAGGAATCCACTACCCATCTTCTTCTCTAACTGTCAATGGTTTGATCGAGGAAATAAAACTAAATAAAACAGTTCTTTATAGGAATTCCAATGCCTCTGGGCGAAGTGAAAATTGATAGAAAACGATCTATGAACCACACAGAGTATATTATCCGAGACGGGGAACGTGTTCTACCGCGGTTCTTAATTCTTTTCAAAAATTAAATTGTCTCATCGTAATATTGAAAATACTACGCAGTAGTTAACACCCTGCTCTTGTAATGTGAGAGAAAAATGTAATAATAAAATTTTTTATGTACACACCCAGATCTTCTACGGGGAATAGAATTCTCTGATCGAACTAACGTTTTTAGTGATAGTCTTCAGTCAGGTTAATTCTGATTTGCAAAGCTGTCTATGATGAAACAAAGAAATGATTCTAAGTGAATTAGGACCAGCAGTTACCTCGGAACCGCAACTCTGAGTGTCAACTAGATTTTGAGACAGAAATATTATAAAGAAGTAACAGGTCAAAATTGTGTTAGGAACTTATCGCGGTGTAAAAAAGAACTTTCGAGTGAAAATATACCAAATTCATAGTTTTTTTGTAGTTTCGTAGGGAACTAACCTATGATGGAAGAGACCATTGAACAGAACTTATGAGTTCAATTATGTACGGAGAAAGAAATCTGCACGTTCCAGATTTTCTCAGGATTGTCAGTCTTCAGTCAGGTTAATTCTGATTTGCAAAGCTGTCTATGATGAAACAAAGAAATGATTCTAAGTGAGTTAGAACCAGCAGT